TATCGCAATTTTTAAAAATTAAAAAAAAACTGAATTTCACACCGAATTTTCCGAAAATATTGCTCCGTTACCATAAACATGCTATATTTTTGGAATCAGCACGTCGGGATATATCTCTGAATTTTTTCAGAATTTTTAGACAACTTTTTCAAAAATGAAATTTTACACAATGGTAGTACTTGCCAAATAACCTACCCTCTAAGAAAATGAAAGGCGGGTGGGCCAGGTTAGTATTTGCCAAAATAAGACTCATTTTGACAAATGACCTACTCTTCTAAGAAAAGGTACTAGCCCCACCCACCCACCCCTTGTTTTCTTAGAAGAGTAGGTCATCTGCCAAAATCAATCTCATCTTGGCAAGTATGAGGCTGACTTTTGCAAATGACATATTCTCTAGGAAAATAAGGGTGGGTGGGCGGGGCTAGTATTTGTTAAAATAAGGCTGATTTTGGCAGATGACCCACTCTTCTAAGAAAGTAAAGGGTGGGTGGGCGGGTCTAATACTTGTCAAGATGAGACTAATTTTGATAGATGACTTATTCTTTTAAGAAAATAAAGCTAAAAACAAAAAAATTAAAAAATCAAAAAATGACAAATTGAAAAATCGGATAAATGAGAAATCGGAAAATTGTACAAGTGTATAATCGGAAAATCAAAAACTGAAATATCGAAAAATTGAAAAAAAAACAAATCTTATATGTATATCGAATTCGAAATTCCAGTTTTAATTTTTTTTTAGTCTTTAGATTTTTCAACTTTTGAATATTTCATTTGATAATTTGTTTGACAATTTTGCAGTTTTTAATTCCAATCTTTTGATTTTTCAAGTTTTAACTTCACAATTTTTGAATTTTTTGATTTTTAATTTTTCAAGTTCTCAAGTTAAAATTTTTCCTTTTCACGATTTGTCATTTTTCGATTTTTTAACTAAAAGAACAAATTTATTCGAACCGAAATCTTGAAAAATTGAAAATTAGAAACAAAATTTTCAGATGATTTAAAATTCCAGTAAACATGGCAAATCGCTGATGAAAATTGCTTTTTACTTCCTTCCAAAAACTCGGTGACAAAAAATCAAAAATCGAAAATAAAAAAAATAAACATCTATTTTCTCGATATTTTTACAAATCAAATAATTGAGAATTGGGAAAATGCCAAAATTGTAAAATTAAAAAATCGAAAGTTTTTTTCAGTTGTATAGAGAAATCAAAAATTGAAAAACAGATCAAAAAATTGAAAATTTAAAAAGCGAGAAATTGAAGAATCCTAAAGTTGAAAAATCGAAACTTTGGGAAGAAAGGGGAAAATAAAAAAAAGATTACTTCAGAAATCAAAAAACTGAAAATTTCTGTTTCTCGATTTTTAAGTTTTTCGGTTTTTCAATTTTTAGATTTGAAATTTGAAATTTTTCAAATTTTCGATTTTTTAAGTTTTACAACTCGGCCGATTTTTTAGTTTTTCAGTTTTTCATTTACTAAATCTTTCAATTTTTCGTTTCATCAATTTTGTTATTAGAAATTTTTAGATGTTAAAATTTTTCAGTTTTTCAATTTGAGTTTCTCTACTTTTTATTTTTGATTTTTCATTTTTTAATTGTTAGTTTTTCATTTTTCATTGTTCGATTTTTATCTTTCTCGATTTTTCAATTTTTCGCTCCATCAATCTAGTTTTTAATCTTAAATTTTTCAGTTTCTCATTCTCTGATTCTACAATTTTGCATTTCTTTATTTTTCAGTTTCTGGATTTTCACTTTTCCGATCTGAAATTTGTTTTCAATTTTTTCTCAGCTTTTGCATTTTTCGTTTCTCCAATCAAGTTTTCAGTGTTGAATCTTTCAATTGTTCGATTTTTTTAATTTCACACTTTGGCAATTTTTTTATTTTTCAATTTTTCAGTTTTTAGATCTTCCATTTTTCTTTTTTTGGTTTTCAATTTTTCCATTTTTAACTTCTTTAATTCTTCGATTCTACAATTTTTTCAATTTTTCCATTTTTAAGTTTCTCTGTTTTTAATTTTTCGATTTATCAGTTTTTAGATATCTTAATTTTTCGGTTTTCAGTTGTTCAATATTTGAGTTTCCCGAGTTTTTAATTCTTCATTTCTTTAATCTTGTTTTCAATTTAAAATTTTTCAGTTTTTCAATTTTTTGACTTTGCAGTTCTTAATTGTTTGATTTTTCAGTTTCTCGATTTTTCCTCTTTTCATGTTTTCAATTTTTCGATTTTTACAGATTTTCATTTTTCGTTTTTTTTTTCAATTTTCCTTTTTTTTAGTTTTTCTATTTTTCGTTTTTTTTTAACAAGGTTTCAATATTAAATCTTTCAGTTTTTCTATTTTTTTAAATATTCCAATTCTTCAATTTTTTAATTTACAGTTTTTCAATTTTTAGTTTCCTTTTTAGTTTTTCAGTCTTTGATTGTACAATTTTGTATTTTTTTTATTTTTCAGTTTTTGGACATTTGCGTCTTTCGCTTTTTTCAATTTTTCGATTTTTCGTTCTTTCAATCAAGTTTTCAATCTTGAATCATTCAGTTGTTCGATTGTCTTAATTTCGCAAGTCGATTCGGTTTTTAGAGTTTCCAGTTTTTCACATTTTCAGTTTTCAATTTGAAATTTGTAGATTTTTTGTTTTCAATTTTGCATTTTTCGATTTTTCATTCCTTCAATCTACTTTCCAATTTGAACTTTTTAATTTTTCAATTTTTCGATTTGTAATTTGCAATTTTTTGGATTTTTCATTTTAAAGTGATCGATTTGTCCATTTTCGATTTCAATTTTTTGAATTGTGGTTTTTCGACTTTTCAGTTTATACATATTTTCGTCTTACGATTTTTCAAATTTTTTTATTGAGTTTCTCGATTTACCGATCTTTTGTTTCTTCAATCAAGTTTTCAAGTTTCTAGTTCTTTCATTTTGTCGTTTCGTCAGTTTTTCGTTTAGAAATTTTTCAATTTTTAGTTTCTTTATTTTTTGATTCAAGAATTTTTTGATTTTTCAATTCTTAGATATTTTAGTTGTTTTCACTTTTTTGGCTCTTGAGTTTCTGTTCTTTTAATTTTCCGATTTTTGATTTTTCACTCCTTAGTTTTTCGCTTTTCATTGCTCGGGAAAGAAATGGAAAAAAAAAGATTACTTCAGAAATCGAAAAACTGAAAATTTAAAAACGTCACAATTTGAAAAATTCAAAAATCGAAATATTTAGAAATCGTAAAATAATCGAGGATAAAAATTGAGAAATTGTATCATTGAAACATCGGAAAATTGAAAAATCGAAAAATAACAAAATGGAGAAACCGAAAATTTAAAGAATGGAAAAATTGAAAATTTCCAAAATTGAAATATTGAAAAGTTGAATCATCTGAAGTTGAATAATCGAGAAATCGAAAATCCGAATAATCTCAATAGTATATTTATAAACCACAAGTTCGGGACTATGCTACTTTTTAACATTTAAATATCATTTGCTTTCAATAACTATAAATTGGAAAATGTCCAAAAACTCGGTGACAAAAAATCAAAAATCGAAAATTAAAAAAATAAACATCTATTTTCTCGATATTTTCACAAATCAAATAATTGAGAATTCGGAAAATGCCAAAATTGTAAAATTAAAAAATCGAAAGTTTTTTTCAGTTGTCCAGAGAAATCAAAAATCGAAAGACAGATCAAAAAATTGAAAACTTAAAAAGCGAGAAATTGAAGAATTCGAAAGTTGAAAAATCGAAAAACTGAAGAATCTAGTAGGACGCACTACGATAAGACTGATTTTGGCAAATGATCTACTGTCTTAAGAAAACAAAGGGCGGTTGGGTGGAGCTAGTATTTGCCAAAATAAATTTCATTTTGGCCAATGACCTACTCTTCTAAGAAAATAAAGAATATGTCATCCGCCAAAATCAGTCTTATCTTCGCAAGTATGAGACTGATTTTTGCAAATCATATATCTTCTAAGAAAACAAGGGTGGGTGGGCGGGGCTAGTACTTGTCAAGATAAGACTGATTTTGGCAGATGGCCCACTCTTCTAAGAAAATAAAGGGTGGGTGGGAGGGGCTTGTATATTTATTTATTTATTTGACAAGTACTAGCAAATTTCGACCCATTTTCGACGATTTTCGAAATTTAACTAAATACTTTTTCTTGTAGATTTCGAGGGCAGAAGTGACTTGCAGCCTCATTTCTTCGATAACTTTAACTTTTTTTCCAGAACTAGATAATTAATTCAGTGCATTGAAATATCACAATTTTTAAAAATTTCAAAAAATTACCTTTAGAAAGAAGATCTTGCGTCATTTTTGCAAGTAGGTGCATGTTTTCGAGTTCAGTTCGGATTGCAGAGTTTTTGTTCAGATTAAAGAGATATGGACTTCAACTAGCCTCTGTCCGGATTACTGGATGTTCGGATTATAGAAGTTATATACTCAATGTCGCTTTGGCTAGTTTTCCTAACCAATCAATGCAAATTCGTGTCTTTCATTTGTATTGCCACAAAAGCTCGTGCTTGTGAACTCTCCAGCGACAAGCACCGCAAACAAATGAGACTACACAATACCTGTACGACAATAGCATAAGAAAGCAATGCCCGTAACGTATCCGTATGTAGATGACTTTTCAGTGTACAAGTACGCGTTATGCATAAATCGTTCTCGTTGCACCATTTTCGCAAAGCCCGATCTATAAATTCCCATAATAAAACAGCGATCGCGGAAGAGAAAGTCCGACGGCTAATCTAAGCCAGATCACTTTTGTTGTGGGAAAAATAGGATTGCAGCATCCCGACCTTTCACTATCGTTATTATTTAACCGTAACGCAGCTATTAGTTTCTTAAAATCAAACTGAATGTTCATGCCGTTTAAAAATTGATGACGTCACGCCATAAAAATTTCGAGTCGGGTCCTGTCTGTTTTTGAACACGCTTCTCTATAATGTATGCCTTTAATCTGGCCTAGCTTTAGACCAAATTAGCACCCGCTGAGATTTTCATGAGCTAGTGTGTTTCAGACTGAAAACCGAGCCCTAAGACTGAAAGAGGGGGTAACTATGGCGCAGTACAGCGACGATTCAGCTCCAGGGCCGGCCGTCCCTTTGGCCCTTCAAAGCCTGGAAACCACCGACGGCCGCCTCACCTGGAACTACTTCGACGAGGCGGGCTACGTGGCCAGGGGCGGGCTGCGCCAAGGAGAGGACCCCTACGTCCGCAATAGATTTAATCAAGAGGCCAGCGACAACCTGCCCAGCAATAGGGAAATTCCGGACACCCGGAATGCGATGTAAGTCCATATTCGATAAGAAATCGCGTGTGAAAACGCCATAAATTTCCGTAGGAAAATCAACACAGATAGGGATTAACCGTTAGCGCGTTTTTGTGTGTGTCGGTACTTTCTCAAATTTAAATTGGGAGTCACGCGAAGCACGAGAATTTTTCTATTTTTGAGTTTGATTGAAGAGATGACCACTGGCGACGAATGGTATTTAGGATACGTGTCTAACCTTTCTCCGAAGCGTATGGTACTGTTGCGACAGTAAAAGTTAGCACACGTGACCCTGAACCTGATCTAATTCACTTTCCAATCCGGAAGCTATCACGGAAAAGTGGACACGATTTCTACTTTTTGTTGTTGTTGTGTGCTAATTAGTGTGAGCGTAAGCGCTTTTAAGAAGAATGTAATCGAGCGACCTTTTGGCTGTATGTTTGAGAAAAATCGACATGCTTGTTTGCCACTCTACAAGGAAATTGTTGACTCGACTCAAGTTAATCACTGCTTTACGGACTGAATATGGAAATTTCCGTGTATTAGTCCTAAACCGATTTAATATGGGTACTATTTTCTATACGAGGATGTCATTAAATTTTTATGGCATGGAAACTAATGGGGATTTATTGTTGCTTTATGTTTATATAAATATATACTTCAAGAGCTGTTCCTTCAACTTGGTCATTACTGGTCACCACTGTTACGTTTCACTTCCGGAGAAATTAATTTTCAAAATCGGTCATTTGTAGGCTGAATTGAGATTGTGTGATTAATTTTAACACAACAGTGTTTTAAAAGTGGCTTTTATTTAACTATAGTGGGACAGAACCACTTTATATATTGTTGCAATCGAAACCTGTAAATTCTATTTGTGGATATTGATTTATACAACTTTTAGAAATAAGTACGGAATAGGTAAACTTTCAAACTTTCACATTGATCAGATTTATTGAAGCATGTTTGCATACCTTATGGGATTTTTTCCAACAATAAAAGATCGCATAAGTTCCACCAAATCCCAAGCGAGACGTACACCAAGGTTCAGATAATAATTAAAAACAACCGATTTTTTTACGATAAAAAAAGTTCGTACCGACCAGAAACATAATTTAAGTTAAAAAATACAACCAAGTTTTTTCGGAGACAGAAAAAGTTTGTGTGTAATTCTGCAGGATAATGTAATGAATGACTTTGTTTTTCTCCATGAACGTTACGAAGTTTTTTGCTGTCGATACCCGTAACATCAAATTTAAATGTTGGCTAACTTTACTCCCAGAGTGACAATGGAATTTGTCCAGGCCTGACTGACACACGTGCGAGACCATTTTCGAACTTCTGACGAAGTAAATACAATTTAAAGGAATCGAGTGTGTTATACAACACAATATACGCTGAGTTACTTTCAACGGTTGAGGACTCCTCGACTTATGTTGGCAACAGTGTTTGTTTCTAACTAGGAATAAAATTAACTAGAAAAAATGTCAATATTTTTAACGACGCGTTTTCGAAATTTTAGTTTGGGGACTTTTCAGTTTACTCCTGTTTATTATTCAATTTTTGGATTTTATAATTTCTCAATTTTTCAATTTCTCGGTTTTCAGTTTTTTCTTCGATTTTACGATTTTTAAATATTTCGATTTTTCAATTTTTGACTTTTATAAGCTCTTTATTTGTCGATTTTTCAATTAATTGATATTTCAGGTTTTGATTTTTCAACTTCATTTTTTGATTTTTCGATTTTTTTAAGGTTTCGATATTTCGACTTCATTTTTTGATTCTCAGTTTTTCGATTCTTTAGATTTTCAGTTTTGGGATTTTTCAATATTTGTGTTCTTCGACTTTTCCATTTTTGACTTCTGGATTTTTCGATGTGTCGACTTTTTACGTTTTTGATTTTTAAATTTTTGATTTCTCAATTTTTGGAATTTTAATTTTTCAATATTTAAAATTTTAGATTTTTCGATTTCTCGATTTTTCAATCCAGCTTTTCCATATTTCATTTTTTCAAATGTTTCGATTTTTCGACTTCCCGGTTTTAGATTTTCTGTTTTTCAATTGTTTTTCGATTTTTAAATTTTAGATTTTTCAGTTTTTTGAAATTTTAATTTTTCAGTATTTAAAATTTTAGGTTTTCCGATTTCTCGAATTTTCATTGCAGTTCTTCCATATTTCAGTTTTTCAAGTTTTCGAAATTTTCAAATGTTTTGATTTCTTAATCTATCGATTTTTCGACTTCGCGTTTTTTCAATTGTCGTTTTTTCAAATTTTAGATTTTTCAGTTTTTCAAATTTGACGTTTAAACTGTCAATTTTTCGATTTTTCAATTACCTAATCGATGTTGTGATTTTCCCATTTCTTGACTTTCGAGGGTTTCGATATTCCTGTTCTTCATTTCTATAATTTTTCATCTTTTCATTTTTCGATTTCACTTTTTGGATTTCTCGCTTGCTCAATTTTTCAACTTTTTAGGTTCTCAGTTTTTGGGTATTTCAGTTTTCAGATTTTCCAGGTTTTCCATTTTTCAGATTTTCTTTCATTTTTCAGTTTTTCGATATTTCAGTTTTGGGATTTTTCGTTGTGTCGATTTTTTACTTTTTCGATTTTTCAATTTTTGGATTTTTAAAATTTAGATTTTTTAATTTTTAAAATTTTAGATTTTTCGATTTCTCGATTTTTCATTTTAGTTCTTCGATATTTCAATTTTTTCCTAGTTTTCGAATTTTTCAAATGTTTCGATTTCTTAACATTTTGATTTTTCGACTTCCCAGTTTTAAATTTTCTGTTTTTCAATTGTCGTTTTTTCAATTTTTCGATTTTTAATTTTTAGATTTTTCAGTTTTTTGATATTTTAATTTTTCAATATTTAAAATTTTAGATTTTCCGATTTCTAGATTTTTCATTTCAGTTCTTCGATATTTCAGTTTTTCAAGTTTTCGAATTTTTCAAATGTTTTGATTTCTTAATCTATCGATTTTTCGACTTCTCGGTTTTAGATTTTCTGTTTTTCAATTGTCGTTTTTTCAAATTTTCGATTTTTCAATTTTTCAAATTTGACATTTATGAACTGTCAATTTTTCGGTTTTCAATTAATCCATGTTTTGATTTTCCTATTTCTTGACTTTCGAGGATTTCGATTTACCTGTTCTTCAATTCTTTAATTTTTCGGTTTTTCAGGTTTTTGATTTTTCATTTTTTAATTTTTTTAAGGTTTCGATTTATCGAGTTCACTTTTTGGATTTCTCGCTTGCTTAATTTTTCGACTTTTTAGGTTCTCAGTTTTTGAATAATTCAGTTTACGGATTTTCCAGGTTTTCCATTTTACAGTTTTTCTTTCATTTTTCAGTTTTTCGATATTTCACTTTTGGGATTTTTCAATATTTAAATTCTTCAACTTTTCGATTTTTGACTCCTGGATTTTTCGATGTTTCGATTTTATACTTTTTCGATTTTTCAATTTTTGGATTTTTAAATTTTAGATTTTTTAATTTTTAAAATTTTAGATTTTTCGATTTCTCGATTTTTCATTTTAGTTCTTCGATATTTCAATTTTTTCCAAGTTTTCGAATTTTTCAAATGTTTCGATTTTTTAACCTGATTTTTCGACTTCCCAGTTTTAGATTTTCTGTTTTTCAATTGTCATTTTGTCAAATTTTCGATTTTTTAATTTTTCAAATTTGACCTATAAACTCTCAATTTTTCGAGTTTTCAATTAATCGATGTTTTGATTTTCCCATTTCTTGACCTTCGAGTGTTTCGATTTTCTGTTTTTCAGTTCTTTAATTTTTGATTTTCCACGTTTTTGATTTTTCAATTTTTCGATTGTTTAAAGTTTCTAATTTTCGACTTCACCTTTTTGATTTTTCGATTTTTCAGATTTTAGATATTTCAGTTTTGGAATTTTGCAATATTTGTGTTCTTCGACTTTTCCATTTTTGACTTCTGAATTTTTGGATGTGTCGACTTTTTACTTTAGATTTCTCAATTTTTGGTATTTTAATTTTTCAATATTTAAAATTTCTCGATTTTTCAATTCAGCTCTTTCATATTTCAATTTTTCAAATGTTTCGATTTTTCGACTTCCCGGTTTTAGATTTTCCGTTTTTCAATTGTCGTTTTTTCAATTTTTCGATTTTTAAAGTTTAGATTTTTCAGTTTTTTGATATTTTAATTTTTAAATATTTAAAATTTTAGATTTTCCGATTTCTCGAATTTTCATTTCAGTTCTTCGATATTTCAGTTTTTCAAGTTTTCGAATTTTTCAATGTTTTGATTTCTTAATCTATCGATTTTTCGACTTCGCGGTAAATTTTCTGTTTTTCAATTGTCGTTTTTTCAAATTTTCGATTTTTCAATTTTTCAAATTTGACATTTAAACTGTCAATTTTTCGATTTTTCAATTAATCGATGTTTTGATTTTCCCATTTCTTGACTTTCGAGAGTTTCGATTTTTCGAATTCATTTTTTGGATTTTTCGACTGCTCAATTTTTGGACTTTTTAGGTTCTCAGTTTTTGGATATTTCAGTTTTCGGATGTTTCAGTTTCTCCTTCATTTTTCAGTTTTTCAATATTTCGATTCTTTGACTTTTCGATTTTTGACTCCTGGATTTTTCGATGTGTCGATTTTTTGCTTTTTCGATTTTTCAATTTTTGGGTTTCTAAATTTTAGATTTTTTAATTTTTAAAATTTTAGATTTTTCGATTTCTCGATTTTTCGTTTTAGTTCTTCGATATTTCAATTTTTTCCAAGTTTTAGAATTTTTCAAATGTTTCCATTTCTTAGCTTTTTGATTTTTCGACTCCCAGTTTTAGATTTTCTGTTTTTCAATTGTCATTATGTCAAATTTTAGATTTTTTAATTTTTCAAATTTGACTTTTATAAACTCTCAATTTTCCCATTTCTTGACCTTCGAGTGTTTCGATTTTCCTGTTCTTCAATTCTTAAATTTTTTGATTTTTCAATTTTTCGATCTTTTAAGGTTTCTGTTTTTCGACTTCACTTTTTTGATTTTTCGATTTCTCAGTTTTAGGATTTTTCAAAATTTCAATTCTTCGGCTTTTCTATTTTTGACTTCTGGATTTTTCGATGTGTCTACCTTTTTACTTTTCCATTTTTTCTATTTTTTATTCAAAAAGCTGAAAAATCGAAAACTGAAAAACCGAAAAATTAAAAATCTAAAATCGAAAAAATCTAAAGAAACAAAAAATCGAAAAAAGTGGAAAATCGCAAAGTCGAAAAATCGAGAAATTTAAAAATCGAAAGAAAACCCAATGAATTGAAAAACTAGACTGAAGAAAACACAAATCGAATCGAAAAATTGGAACATTGTAAAATGAAAACCTTGAAAACTCTGAAAACTGGAAATCAAAATCTTGAAAAATTGATGAAACGAAAAATTAAAGAATCAAAAAATTAAAAATTGAGAAACCTAAAAATCGAAAAAGTGCGAAATAAAAAAACCAAAATGTATTGTTAAGTCAAAATGTTGAAAATTATAGAAGTCGGAAAATCAGATAACTGGAAATCCAACAATTGCAAGCTTGAAAAATTACAATTTTGATGATTCCATAATTTTTCGATTGTACAATTTTTGGGTTTTCCAATTTTTCGAATCCATTTATTATTTCTTCTGTCAAATTTTTCGATTCTTGAGTTTTCTTTGGATTTTTAAATTTCGCGATTTTTGGTTTTTAAATACTTCAATTTTTCGTTTCTTCGATTTTTCGATTTTCCATTTTTTAGTTTTTCAGATTGTATTTTTAGTTTTCCGATTTTTCAATTTTTGTATTTTTAAATTTTAGGTTTTTCAATCTTTTGATCTTTTAATTTTTCAATATTTCTTAATCTTCCATTTTTTCTATTTTTTATTCAAAAAGCTGAAAAATCGAAAACTGAAAAACCGAAAAATTAAAAATCTAAAATCGAAAAAATCTAAAGAAAAAAAAAATCGAAAAAAGTGGAAAATCGCAAAGTCGAAAAATCGAGAAATTTAAAAATCGAAAGAAAACCCAATGAATTGAAAAACTAGACTGAAGAAAACACAAATCGAATCGAAAAATTGGAACATTGTAAAATGAAAACCTTGAAAACTCTGAAAACTGGAAATCAAAATCTTGAAAAATTGATGAAACGAAAAATTAAAGAATCAAAAAATTAAAAATTGAGAAACCTAAAAATCGAAAAAGTGCGAAATAAAAAAAACAAAATTTATTGTTAAGTCAAAATGTTGAAAATTATACAAGTCGGAAAATCAGATAACTGGAAATCCTACAATTGCAAGCTTAAAAAATTACAATTTTGATGATTCCATAATTTTTCGATTGTACAATTTTTGGGTTTTCCAATTTTTCGAATCCATTTATCATTTCTTCTGTCAAATTTTTCGATTCTTGAGTTTTCTTTGGATTTTTAAATTTCGCGATTTTTGGTTTTTAAATACTTCAATTTTTCGTTTCTTCGATTTTTCGATTTTCCATTTTTTAGTTTTTCAGATTGTATTTTTAGTTTTCCGATTTTTCAATTTTTGTATTTTTAAATTTTAGGTTTTTCAATCTTTTGATCTTTTAATTTTTCAATATTTCTTAATCTTCCATTTTTTCTATTTTTTATTCAAAAAGCTGAAAAATCGAAAACTGAAAAACCGAAAAATTAAAAATCTAAAATCTAAAAAATCTAAAGAAACGAAAAATCGAAAAAAGTGGAAAATCGCAAAGTCGAAAAATCGAGAAATTTAAAAGTCGAAAGAAAACCCAATGAATTGAAAAACTAGACTGAAGAAAACACAAATCGAATCGAAAAATTGGAACATTGTAAAATGAAAACCTTGAAAACTCTGAAAACTGGAAATCAAAATCTTGAAAAATTGATGAAACGAAAAATTAAAGAATCAAAAAATTAAAAATTGAGAAACCTAAAAATCGAAAAAGTGCGAAATAAAAAAACAAAATGTATTGTTAAGTCAAAATGTTGAAAATTATACAAGTCGGAAAATCAGATAACTGGAAATCCAACAATTGCAAGCTTGAAAAATTACAATTTTGATGATTCCATAATTTTTCGATTGTACAATTTTTGGGTTTTCCAATTTTTCGAATCCATTTGTTATTTCTTCTGGCCAATTTTTCGATTCTTTGGATTTTTCGATTTTCCATTTTTTGTTTTTTCAGATTTTTTAGTTTTTAGATTTTTAGTTTTTCGATTTTTCAACTTTTTCATTAAAAAAATTGAAAAATTGTAAAATGAAAACCTTGCAAAAACTGAAAATTGGAAATCAACCTTGAAAAATTGAAGAAACGAAATTTCAAACATCGAAACATTAAATTGAGAAACTTAAAAATCGAAAAAGTGCGAAATCAAAGTGCTGAAAATTATAGAAATCGGAAAATCGGATATCTGGAAATCCAACAATTGCTAACTTGAAAAATTACGGTTTTGACGGTTCCATAATTTTTCAACTGTTTTTGATCTTCCAATTTTTCGTTCGATTTGTTTTTTTCTGTCCATTTTTCGATTCTTGAGTTTTCTTTGGATTTTTAAATTTCCAGATTTTTAGTTTTTCATTGCAGGTTTGTTGGTTTTCAATTTTTCGTTTCTTCGAATTTGCGATTTTCTATTTTTCGATTTCACTTATTTGATTTTTCGATTTTCCAATTTTTCAACTTTTAACTTTTTGTTTGCCGATTTCTCTATTTTTCGATTTTTCGGCTTCATCACTTTTCGATTTCTCGTTCTTTTGATCTTTCAGTCTCTCAAGTTTTCAATTTTTCGAATTTTTAAGTTTTTTGATTTCTCGATTTATCGAGATTTGGATTTTTCGATATTTTGATTTTTCGATATCTCGATTTTTCGTTATTCGGTTTTTAAATTTTAGATTTTTGAATTTTACATTTTTTCGATATTCTGATGTTTCATTTTTCGATTTTCAGTTCTTCGATATTTCGATTTTTCAATGTTTCGGTTTTACGATTTTTTAAGGTTTTCAATATTTTTAGCTTAAGACGTTTTGCTAGTGTAAAACACAAATAAAGAATTAATTCTTAGTTAAACGAAGAAATTATAGTCTAAATCAACCAAATCGCTTCTGAACGCTTAGAGTCGACATTGGCTTGAGCGCGCTCTGGTCTGTAGATCAAACAAGTTCTCAGGCGACGAGTTGTAGTCAAACAAGTTTTTTTATTGGCATATTATATTAATCTATGCTTTCAGCGTGGGTCGGGATAAATGTTTCGCCTTTATGTACTACGTCGTAAGGGTCACCAAATTAGTACCATCAGTGTCGAATTTGTCAGTTGCTTAGCATCCTCTGAGTTTTAAATTATGTGAACAAAAATTTATTTCAAGTAAAATTAATTAAAACAATTGTGTGCACACCACAGTAAAATGACAAACTTCCACCCTCTTCAATGCAAATCCGAGTACTTCTGTTTGATTATGTCCGAAATTTTTTCCGCCGCCATAATCGTATCCGCCCTTCCTGACACACACTTGGAAAAAATCCCAGCATCCACCACCCTCAAACCCATCATTCCATGCACTTGCGCATTTTTATCAACGACTGACGTCTTAGGGTCCGCACCCATGGCAGTAGTACCAGTAAACTCATACGCACTCGTGGCCAGTGCACGAATAACACACTCATTACGTTCATCACTACCTTTTTCATAATTAGTACACAATCCAGTTGTCTGTAAACTAGCCCCTATTTCACGAAAGGCTTTCGTCTTCACTAGTTGTTCGTCCACGAATTTGACAGCTTTTAAAAAAACTTCTACGTCTCTGGGATCGCTGAAATAATTCAGGTCGATTTTCGGGTGATCGATGGGGTTGGAAGATTTGAGTTTGACGCTTCCGCTAGATCTGGAACATAGATTGATCACATCTAGGGCAAAATCCGTTTCTGTGTTGATGCTTTTTAGGAATGTTTGTGTGACGGTTTGGTTGTAGTTGAATACGCGTGGTAAGAGTGCGGCTTGGGTGCGTGGCGGTGGTACCATTAGGATTTGGAAGGTGGGTGCGTCTTCAGGAGTACCGTCTGCGTGGATGAACTCTAGCAGGTCGGTGTAGAGGGGTTTGACGAGAGGACCGTACCCGCGTAGGTACTGCTTAATAGCGGTGTCCAGATCGCCTTGGTTGTGTAACGAGGAGTTAGTACGCACTATGATTGGTAAAAACGTCTTATCTTTGAGAGTTTTGCCTACTGGTAGGTCTTGCAGTACCTTGATTTTGTGCTCTTTCAAGTGATCGCGAGGACCAATACCCGACAGCATTAGAAGTTGAGCACTGTTGATTGTCCCTGCGGAAACTATGACTTCTTTAGTCGCAATAATTTTATATTTTTTGTCGTTTTTTACAAACACGACGCCTTGAGCTGTTTTATTGCTTTCGTTGATGATGATTTTGGTGGCGAAGGCGTGGGTGAGTACTTCGACATTGTCTCTGGAACGTGCGTAGTCCAGAAAAGCGGTATTGGTACTTTGTTTTTGCCCGTGTTTGATATTGAGTTGAGGCTTACCAACACCCACACTTCGTATTCCGTTGTAGTCTATATTGGGTACGTGAAGTTCCTCGTTGGCTTTAAGAACGAGAGGTTGAAGTGGCGAATCTGGTTTACCGTACTCAACATTCAAAACACCCCCTTTTTTGTGGTACAAATAGTCGCCACGAATTTGCTCGTTTTCTGACTTTTTGTAGTAATATAGATCGTCGAAGTACGTCCACCCTTTGACTGCCCATTCGTTGTAGCGTACGCGGCTTGACCTGCGGTAAATCCCGAAATCGATAGCGCTACTTCCACCTAGAACCTTCCCCGACGGAACCATACACTCCTGGTTGTTCATTCCTTAAAAATACATACAATTTTCAACCCAACCGGTTTTATATTTACCTAAACAGCAGTTTTTCTGCGGCGTGGAGTAGTACCCCCAGTTCATATCACTAAACTGCAAGTTAAAAGCCATATTTGGAATTTTGGAAAAGTCACTCTCTTCACCCCCGGCTTCGATTACAGCAATGCGCAGTTTCGGATTCTCGGAAAGCCGGGTTGCGACGACAGCGCCGGCAGTACCAGCACCGATAATCACAACGTCGAATTTTTTGGGATAGTCTGAAACAAATCGTCGTTTATGGTTTTAAAATGACTCCTTTTACCATGTAGTTTTACCATGTAGTTTGTCGGAGGCGGCTCCTTTTTCAAACTCAACGCTTCTCTGACTAAGGTTGTAAGATAGAGCTCGCACTGATCCAACTTGAATTAGCTGTTTGTAGTACTGGATTGTGATATTTTCGTCACAGTGTGCGAAATGAACAAGAAAAAAGACGGTCAAGTGTAGACAAAACATTTTGGTTTTTTGTGTCTGTAGCTACGGCTTACAAACTATGATTGAGTGCGAAATATTGCTTTACTCTGTTTTAAGGTACTTGCGTTTGTATTATCCTTGAAGCTTGCTTATCGGTGGTACTTAAATTCTGAAGGCAACAACAAAGTTATGCATGTGATTGTAATGACATTGTTCTGATAAATAGAGGAAATGCAAATTTTTATTTTTTCAACTTGGTTACAAATTCTGCTGACTTTGTGGCTCTAGATTGTTGATCTATGATGATTTTTCTGTACTTTGGCTGACCCAAATCAATCATGAGATGACTTGCGACGAAATTCCGGGGGGTGGCGGCGAGATTCTTCCTTTGCGAGGGAGGGAGTGCCGGGGTTGCTCTCAAGCCGGAGACACGGATCTCAGGTGGTGAGCGCCCGCAAAATACGAAAATAAAATAAAACGGCAAGGAATATTGCATTCTGGCCACGATTAGGCCAATGGTTGGAGTACCGTCAGTACTGTCTCCGTGGAGGAAACCAAGGGCCTGCTAGGTCCTCTAGAATCTGCATATTATACAGACTTGCTACATTTCATAGATTTTCTGGATTTTCTAGGCCCTCTATAGTTTCTAGATACTATACTCTGTAGATATTTCTGGCTCTTTAAAGTTTCATCTGTTTTCTAGGCTTTCTAGATATCCTAGATTGTCTATAATCACAAAGCTCTCTAGACTCTGCAGAGTCTCTGGATTCTATACCTTTTAGGGTTTCTAGACACTGAATTAAGGTGCCTAAATTCTATGGACTTTCTAAAGTTTCAAGATTCTCCAGATTCTCTTCCCTCTGAATTCTCTCTAGATTTTCTAGTCCATAAATTGCTTAGATTGTCTAGGTTCTCCAGAGTTTTCATCTGCAGATTCTCCAAGATCTATAAATTCTTGACTTGCAAGATTTTATAGATTTTTCTGAACTCTAGCTAGTACAAACTGCATAAAATATTTTGATTCTAGAGGATTCAAGCATCTAGATTCTGTAGACTCATTGTAGTTTTTAGAGCTATACCAAATGTCTAGTCTCTAGATTTTCTAAGGTTTCTAGATTCTGTATGTTCTGAAGGATCTCTATATCCTCTCTGGATTCTCCAACCTCTAAATTGCTTATATTGTCTAGATTCTCTAGAGTCCCCATATTCTTCACGACCTCTAGACTCTAAACTTTCTAGACTTTCGAGACTCTCTAGCTACTCTAAGCTGTCGGGAAATCCAGAAGTCGAAAAATTAAAAGTTTAAAAAATCGAAAAATTGAAAAATCAAAAATCTGAGGAATTGAAGAAATGAAAAATCGAAACTTTGGGAAGAAATGGGAAAATAAAAAATCGAAAAACCGAAAATTTGAAGAAAGGAAAAATTGAAAATGTCCAAAATTGAAAGACTGAAAAATTGAAACATCCAAAGTTGAATTGAAAAATGGAAAAATTCAAGTATTGAAGAAGTGAAAAATTGAAACTTTGGCAAGTCGAGAAATGGGAAAATAAAACAGATTTTTTGGGAAAGTACAGTTATTTTTATGTTTTAGCAGCATTGTGTTTTATTTTCTATTAATTTTTGCATGTTTTTAGTCACAATTTTGGTAGTTATTTTTTGCTTTAACTTTTAGCAATAATAAATAATTCAAACACGAAAAAAAAAATAAAAAATGGAAAATCTAAAATTTAAAAATCGAGAAATTGAAAAATCGGATCATTGAAAAATCGAAACATCGGGAAATTGGAAAATCAAAAAGTTAAAAAAAGATGGAAAATCGAAAATTTAAAAAATCCGAAAAATTAAAATATTGAAATATAGAGGAACTGAAAACTCGAGAAATCAAAAATCTAGAATTTAAAAAAAACAAAAATTAAAATATCGGAAAGTTGAAAAATTGAGAAATCGAAATATAAAACAGCCGAAAATTGAAAAATCCAAAGTTAAAAAACGAAAAACTGAAAATCGGTAAATCCAGAAGTCAAAAAATTAAAAGTTTAAAAAATCGAAAAATTTAAAAATCAAAAATCTGAGGAATTGAAGAAGTGAAATTCGAAAGTTTGGGAAGAAATGGGAAAATAAAAAAAAGGATTACTTCAGAAATCGGAAAACTGACAATTTAAAAACGTCAAAATTTGAAAGATTCAAAAATTCAAAAATCGATATATTTAGAAATCGTAAAATAATCGAGGAAAAAATTGAGAAATTGTATCATTGAAACATCGGAAAATTGAAAAATCGAAAAATAAAAAATCAAGAAACCGAAAATTTGAAGAAGGGAAAAATTGAAAATGTCCAAAATTGAAATACTGAAAAATTGAAACATCTAAAGTTGAATTGAAAAGTCAAAAACCTGAAAAATGGAAAAACTCAAGTATTGAAGAAGTGAAAAATTGAAACTTTAGCAAGTCGAGAAATGGGAAAATAAAACAGATTGTTTGGGAAAGTACAGTTATTTTTATGTTTTAGCAGCATTGTGTTTTATTTTCTATTAATTTTTGCATATTTTTAGTCACAATTTTGGTAGTTATTTTTTGCTTTAACTTTTAGCAATAATAAATAATCCAAACACGAAAAAAACAAAAAAATAAAAAATGGAAAATCTAAAATTTAAAAATCGAGAAATTGAAAAATCAGATCATTGAAAAATCGAAACATCGAGAAATTGGAAAATCAAAAAGTTAAAAAAAAGATGGAAAATCGAAAATTTAAAAAATCCGAAAAATTGAAATATTGAAATATAGAGGAACTGAAAACTCGAGAAATCAAAAATCTAGAATTAAAAAAATGAAAAATTCAAATATCGAAAAGTTGAAAAATGGAGAAATCGAAATATAAAACAGCCGAAAAATTGAAAAATCCAAAGTTTAAAAAACGAAAAACTGAAACTTGGGAAATCCAGAAGTCGAAAAATTAAAAGTTTAAAAAATCGAAAAATTGAAAAATCAAAAATCTGAGGAATTGAAGAAGTGAAAAATCGAAACTTTGGGAAGAAATGGGAAAATAAAAAAAAAGGATTACTTCAAAAATCGGAAAACTGAAAATTTAAAAACGTCAAAATTTGAAAAATTCAAAAATTGAAAATCGAAATACGTATTTAGAAATCGTAAAATTGAAGAGGATAAAAATTGAGAAATTGTATCATTGAAACATCGGAAAATTGAAAAATCGAAAAATAAAAAATCGAGAAACCGAAAATTTGAAGAATGAAAAAATTGAAAATGTCCAAAATTGAAACATCCAAAGTCGAATAGAAAAATCAAAAACCTGAAAATGGAAAAATTCAAGTATTGAAGAAGTGAAAAATTGAAACTTTGGGAAGTCGAGAAATGGGAAAATAAAACAGATTTTTTGGGAAAGTACACTTATTTTTATGTTTTAGCAGCATTGTGTTTTATTTTATATTAATTTTTGCATATTTTTAGTCACAATTTTGGTAGTCATTTTTTGCTTTAACTTTTAGCAATAATAAATAATCCAAACACGAAAAAAACAAAAAAATAAAAAAAGGAAAATCTAAAATTTAAAAATCGAGAAATTGAAAAATCGGATCATTGAAAAATCGAAACATCGAGACATTGGAAAATCAAAAAGTTAGAAAAAGGTGGAAAATCGAAAATTTTAAAAATCCGAAAAATTTAAATATTGAAATATAGAGGAACTGAAAACTCGAGAAATCAAAAATCTAGAATTTAAAAAAAAATGAAAAATTAAAATATCGAAAAATTGAAAAATTGAGAAATCGAAATATAAAACAGCCGAAAAATTGAAAAATCCAAAGTTTAAAAAACGAAAAACTGAAAATCGGGAAATCCAGAAGTCGAAAAATTAAAAGTTTAAAAAATCGAAAAATTGAAAAATCAAAAATCTGAGGAATTGAAGAAGTGAAAAATCGAAACTTTGGGAAGAAATGGGAAAATAAAAAAAAAGATTACTTCTGAAATCGGAAAACTGAAAATTTAAAAACGTCAAAATTTGAAAAATTCAAAAATTAAAAAATCGAAATACGTATTTAGAAATCGTAAAATTAAAGAGGATAAAAACTAAGAAATTGTATCATTGAAACATCGGAAAATTAAAAATCGAAAAATAAAAAATCGAGAAACCGAAAATTTGAAGAATGGAAAAATTGAAAATGTCCAAAATTGAAAAACTGAATAATTGAAACATCTAAAGTTGAATTGAAAAATCAAAAACCTGAAAAATGGAAATATTCAGGTATTAAAGAAGTGAAAAAGTGAAACTTTGGGAAGTCGAGAAATGGGAAAATAAAACAGATTTTTTGGGAAAGTACAGTTATTTTTATGTTTTAGCAGCGTTGTGTTTCATTTTCTATTAATTTTTGCATATTTTTGGTCACAATTTTGGTAGTTATTTTTTGCTTTAACTTTTAGCAATAATAAATAATCCAAACACAAAAAAAACAAAAAAATAAAAAATGGAAAATCTAAAATTTAAAAATCGAGAAATTGAAAAATCGGATCATTGAAAAATCGAAACATCCAGAAATTGGAAAATCAAAAATTAAAAAAAGATGGAAAATCGAAAATTTTAAAAATCCGAAAAATTTAAATATTGAAAAATAGAGGAACTGAAAGCTCGAGAAATCAAAAATCTAGAATTTAAAAAAAATTAAAAATTAAAATATCGAAAAGTTGAAAAATTGAGAAATCGAAATATAAAACAGTCGAAAATTTGAAAAATCCAAAGTTTAAAAACCGAAAAACTGAAAATCGGGAAATCCAGAAGTCGAAAAATTAAAAGTTTAAAAAATCGAAAAACTGAAAAATCAAAAATCTGAGGAATTGAAGAAGAGAAAAATCGAAACTTTGGGAAGAAATGGGAAAATAAAAAAAAAGATTACTCCAGAAATCTAAAAACTGAAAATTTAAAAACGTCAATATTGAAATATAGAGGAACTGAAAACTCGAGAAATCAAAAATCTAGAATTTAAAAAAAATGAAAATTTAAAATATCGAAAAGTTGAAAAATTGAGAAATCGAAATATAAAACAGTCGAAAAATTGACAAATCCAAAGTTTAAAAAACGAAAAACTGGAAATCGGGAAATCCAGAAGTCGAAAAATTAAAAGTTTAAAAAATCGAAAAATTGAAAAATCTTAAATCTGAGGAATTGAAGAAGAGAAAAATCGAAACTTTGGGAAGAAATGGGAAAATAAGAAAAAAAGATTACTTCAGAAATCGAAAAACTGAAAATTTAAAAACGTCAAAATTTGAAAAATTCAAAAATTGAAAAATCGAAATACGTATTTAGAAATCGTAAAATTGAAGAGGATAAAAATTGAGAAATTGTATCATTGAAACATCGGAAAATTGAAAAATCGAAAAATAAAAAATCGAGAAACCGAAAATTTGAAGAATGGAAAAATTGAAAATGTCCAAAATTGAAATACTGAAAAATTGAAACATCTAAAGTTGAATTGAAAAATCAAAAACCTGAAAAATGGAAAAATTCAAGTATTGAAGAAGTGAAAAATTTAAACTTTGGCAAGTCGAGAAATGGGAAAATAAAACAGATTTTTTGGGAAAGTACAGTTATTTTTATGTTTTAGCAGCATTGTGTTTTATTTTCTATTAATTTTTGCATATTTTATTCTGACCGACTTAGGCTTATGCGCCGACCTTCAGGGAGCGCCGGGGTTGCTCTCAAGCCGGAGACACGGATCTCTCACATATAACACGGCGTTAATCGCGCTGCTACCACCGATCGATTTCTCTAAAGGAGCCATGCACTTGTAATCTCTCATACCTGGAATCAACCCGTCTACTGTTTCAGTAGTACCTAGATAGCAATTCGCTTGCGGAGTCGTATAATACCCCCAATTCATCTCGCTGAACTCTAAGTACGGAAACATTCCCGGAATGGCATTAAAATCGTCCTCTTCACCTCCGACTTCCAGGAGGATTCTCCAGCTATCTATTTCGGAAAGGCGGGTCGCTAAGACGCTACCTGCCGAGCCGGCTCCCGCGATAATGAAATCGTAACTCCCGAAATCTGGAACAAAGGGTTAAATTGTGTCGGGGTGAAGTCGGATTCTTGGTGGTTGTTTCGTGCGAGGTGGCGAACTCAGAGTTGTTTTGGGGTAATTCATAGAGCTGTGCTTGCGCTCCCTGATTAGGGTCGTGGGGGAGGAAGTGACGACGCGGACAAAAAAGAGCATGATGTATAGGAGGAGGAGCACGCTTAATGGAGGAAATATGAGGAGTGACTAACGGAATTACAAGTAGGAAATCAAATTGCGTCGTCTAATCTTGGCGGAGAATGGCTCGATCAATCAATTTTATCAAGTGCAGTGTTTTCTGTCGAAATAAACTTCGACCAATTGTAAATTGTAGTAATTCTGTAATATCTGTATCTGTAATCTTGTTGCAGGTGCCGGCGGAAAAAGTGGAAGACCGAACTGCCCGCCACCAGCGTCATAATAACCTTCCACAACGAAGCCCGTTCCACCCTCCTCAGAACGGTCGTGAGGTGAGTCGGAATTACCTTGCAATTAAATTCCCCCCGTCTCTTTGTTCGCGAAACTTTGCCGAATTAGCAAAACGAAGAAAACGTTTCTCGACGAGTAAGCCTAAACAAAAATCCCCCGTCCGACTGCATTAAAGACGTCGGTGATTAATGCTCCTTTTTGAATACAGGAAGTAAATTTGGTCTTTTGTGTTGGCTTCGTTATCGCGCATCATATTTCATTTCACCAGAAACAAAACAAAAAAACCGTATTAATGCCATAGCCCGGACGATACGGATCTCATTGTTTCTAATATAATCATCAGCAAGTGAAATTACCCGACTTACATACAATTGTTCTCCGGAGCGCATTTTGTTTAATTAACGACGTTGCGTAATGCGTTTCCGCTTTTTCCAGTGTTCTCAACCGGAGCCCGGAACATTTGATCAAGGAGATCATTCTAGTGGACGATTTCAGCGATAATCGTAAGTACAGTTCGCTTTCGAATAACTGTCAAGACTTTGTCAACCATTATTACATATTTATAATTTAATAATTCGTCACGAAGTTTTTCCCGATTGTTGGAAACAATCAAGTATTACGCCGGTTTTTAAATCTGGAAATAAAAATGAGATAAAAAATTATCGACCGATATCTCTCATTTGCAATTTTGCCAAAGTCTTCGAAATTTTAATTTACAAATCAATCTATCCCCATGTTAGTCATCAGTAAAGAGCGAATTTCTAGGTTTAATGCTTTTTGTGAAAAATGTAAGCACTTCAAAACTTTTTTATATCTGTAACTATGATACAATTTGGAGTCATTTGACACATTTTTTTTATGCTTATTTAATGCTTTTTTCGACGAATATGAGTTTTAATGCATATTTTGTTCAAATGCCGGCCTTGTCGGGATGACAAATACTCGTTAGTTAGGCGTATCGTATCGTATGCATTTTACCTGGACTTGACCATTGAAGTACACTTACTCAAGACCCTTTCTGTGAATAGGTTCCGGTCGTTTGGGTAATAAAATTTTATTATAGGATTGGAAAAATACTCCATAGATTTTATGACTTTAAATCCTTACTTCCGTTGATAATGAATTAAAGCTTTTAACCAGATGTTCTTTTTCGGCATTTTGCGGCAAGACCGTTGAAGATTTTCTAGAAAAAAGGATTATTGTACCTAACTATCTACCTTAAAATTTTTCTAATGGAAACTTTTAAGTAAATGAACCGTTTATTTCACAACCATCAGTCTATCGCATCTGTCATGGTACAGTGTTATACGTGGTTCTCCCTTGTTACATGTTGAGTTCTTTTTGGTAATATTACTAATATTTTAAAAGAATGCCGAAAGTAAAATCGACGCCGGATGAGTGGATTTTCCAGAATTAAAATTAGAAAACAACAAAATATTCTGCAGAGCTTGTGTGAAAACCGTAAGCCCACTAATTTTTTTTATCTATTTTCCTTTGTTAATCCTGTATATGTGCGTTGTTTTAGATTCAAAGTGATAAAAAATATAACGTGACCCAACATGTCAGAACGACTCTTCATGTAGAAAGGAAGAAAATGTTTGAAGTTTCTAAAATTAAACAGCAGACCATACATGAATCTGTTGCATCTACTTCCACAAAAGATGAGCAGTTTCAGTTTAATTTCGATTTATGTAAAATGATGATCCAGTCCAATATACCTCTTTTAAAAAATTGGAGATAGGCCCTCTTCAAGAATTCCTTGAAAAACACTGCAATCGACATATTCCGGTTGAAAGTACTCTCCGAAAAAATTATGTAGGCCCAGTGTTTCAGCAAGTTTACAACGAAATTAAACATCGCATTGGAGATAATTATTTACGGTTCGCTGTCGATGAAACAACCGATAGTTGTGGAAGATACGTGGCAAGTTTAATTGTTGGAATATTAAATGAAAATTTCCCTAGTCGAGGGTGTGTAGTAAGTTTGAAAATGTTAGATAAAACAAATGGCAATACGATTACCAGATTTGTAAATGACAGTCTTACGTCACTATTTTTGCCAATAAAATTTTATTGATGATCTCGGCTGCAGCTCGTTATATGTTGAAAGCAGGGAATAATCTAAAAATATTGTACCCCAATTTAATTCACTCTACTTGCATTGTCCACGGTTTAAACAGAGTGGCTGAAGGAATACGTTTGGAGTTTCCTACTGTTAATAAATTAGTGGCAAATGGTAAAAAGATTTTTGTTAAAGCCCCACTAAGAGTGCAACATTTTAAGGAAAAATTTCCAAACATACCATTGCCCCCAGAACCGATTATAACGACGTGGGGAACATGGTTACAGGCCACATTTTATTATGACAAATATATCAAAAAATTTGAGGAAGTAGTTACGGAGTTTAGCGAAGATTCTTCTCGATCGATTAAAAATTGCATAAATATTTTGGAAAACAAAGATTTGCGACAAGATCTAGCTTTTCTAAGAAGCAATTATCAATTCGTATGTGAGGTAATAGAAAAGTTAGAAGAACCCAACATGTTGTTGGTAGATGCCATAAACTTAGTGGAAGAATTTAAACATTTGCTGTGTCTGGTAGCGGATTAATGAGATAGATATCTCTGATACCACACTTCTGATTACTCCGAAAGTTTAGATGTTTATCAAGCCTAGATTTCGCAACTAAACAAATCGCCGTTTTCAACTATAGTTACGGTTTTGAACTAGTGAATGGTTTCCGATGGCCAATAAACGTTTTACAACACTTGTTTTCTGGTATTTTTGTGAATAATAATAAAAGATTTCCAAAGAATCGCGTTGGAACTCATTTGTACAAAGTTCACTATTTAAGATCCAGAACTATAGAATTCATGAAATTTGTGTTTGTTAAAATTTAATTCTAGTATTTTAGAAAGGTCGGCATATACATATTATTTATGAAGGCAAAATTAATACAATTTATACGATTGTAATTACAAATTAAAATGTAGTGAAAGAGATGCATTAGAATACAAAAACTGTGGATGAGAAAAAAATCCCGTGGGACTTATTCAGTGAATTATTATCAGCGCAGACATGGCCATAACTAATTTAAAGGTGCATTGTCCATTTCAGTAGTTATAATTTTGAGTGTTTTTGGGAAAAATATTGAGTCTGGTTGATCAATTAATCATCGAGGAAATAAAATCAAACAAATTTCCCTTTCTTTTCTTTTCTGAACGTGCTAATAGTCGAATTCTTTCGAAATATAAACATAAACAGTCGAAGTTAAGCATGTACCTACTCAGAAATCGAGAATTTCTACATTTTTCCCTTGGGTTGTCTGCTTTAAATATATCGCGGAGGTGTTACTTACGCCACTGGCTTTTCATTATACAAGTTATCACAAGACGGAAAAATCATATTTTATAATTTTTTAAAGAAGCGTAATCTCCGAAACTGCTGGACCGATCGTTGTCAAATTTTGCACATATGTTAGAAATACCATCTAGATGGTTAAATGCTAACCAAAATTTGGCTAATTATCCCTACCAACAAGTTGATGATGTCATCTCCAAAATTTATAGTTAAAAGTTTTTTTAATTTGATAAAATAAGATACTTGTGGTGTGCGAATCCGTGCCGAATTTTCACCCCAGATATCCAGAATTTTTAGAAAACATTTAAAACTGAATAGAATAATTGCAATATAACTTTCTTTACCCCCTTTCTATTTTCTCAGAAGGCATAGCATTTGCCAAAATCAGTCTTATCTTAACAAGTACTAGCCCCGCCCACCCACCCTCTCTTTTCTTAGAGGATATGTGATATGCCAAAGTCAGTCTTATCTTACCAAGTACTAGCCCCACCCACCCACCCCTATTTTCTCAGGGGATATGTCATTTGCCAAAATAAGACTTTTCTTAGCAAGTACTAGCAAGTACTACCCTCTGAGGAAATAAAGGGCGAGGCTAGTACTTCTAACATAAGTCTTGTTTTGGCAAATGACATTTCCTCTGAGAAAATAGGGGGGGGGTGGGCGGGGCTACTACATACTTGGTAAGATAAGATTGATTTTGGCAAATGACATCCTTTAAGAAAAGAGAGGGCGGGTGGGTGGGGCTAGTACTTGATGAGATAAGATTGATTTTGGCAAATGATATGCCCTCTAAGAAAGTAAAGGTTGGGTGGGTGGGGCTATTACTTGGTAAGATAAGACTGATTTTGGCAAATGACATATCCGCTACGAAAAGAGAGGGTGGGTGGAGCTAGTACTTGCTAAGATAAGACTGATTTTGGTAGATGATATATCCTCTAAGAAAAGAGAGGGTGGGTGGGTGGGGCTAATACTTGTCAAGATGAGACTGATTTTGTGCAAATGACATATGCTCTAAGAAAATAAGGGTGGGTGGGCGGGGCTAGTACTTGCTAGATAAGATTGATTTTGGCAGATGACTTATTGTTCTAAGAAAATAAAGGCTGGGTGGGTACTTGCTAAAAATGAAAAAAAAAAAATTTAAAAATCAAAACATTTAAATGGAGAAATCGGAAAATTGTACAACTGTGTAATCGGAAAATCAAAAATTGAAATATCGAAAAATTGAAAAAAAAAACAAATCTTATAAAATCGAATTCGAAATGTTTCGATTTTTTAATTTGCCATTCTTTCAATTTTCGATTTTTCGTCTTTCCATTTTTAGATTTTTTTATTTTTCTGTTCGTCAGTTTTTAGACTGCAATTTTTTTGCATTTTTCGATTATATTTTACTTTCCGATTTTTTTGATTTTTGAATTCTCGATTTTACGTTTTTAATTCTTCGATTTCCGATTTTTCAATTTTCCGGTTTTTTAATTATTCTATTCTCGATTTTTCGATTTTCCATTAATCATAAAATTTTTCGATTTTTCGGTTGTTTTATTTTTCGACCTTCGATTTTTCAACTTTCGATTATTCGATTTTCCATTTTCTGATTTTGCGATTTTTCGATTTTCGTTTTTCCGCTTTTGTGGTTTTTCGATTTTTCTGTTTGTTTCAGTTTTTATGGTTCTGCAATTTGCAGCTTTTAGATTTCAATTTTGTTACTTTCCGATTTTCACTTTTCGATTTTTTGATTTTTTTTCGATCGTTGTTTTTTCGATTTTCATTTTTTCGATTTTTTGATTTTTCAATTTTTAGGCCTTGCAATTTTTTTACTTTTCGCTTTTTCGAGTATTTGTTTCATCGAATTTTCGAGTTTTCGATTTTCGATTTTTCGGTTTTTCCATTTTCCGATTTTCGATTTTTCGATTTTCCATGTTTAGATATTTTTCGATTTTTTTTTATTTTTCGATTGTTCTGTTCGTCAGTTTTGAGACTTTGCAATTTTTACTTTTCCACTTTTCTATTATTTTAGTTTCGGATTATTCGATTTTTTAATTTTTCGATTTTTCGGTTTTTTAATTTGTCGATTCTCGATATTCCGATTTTCGTTTTTCGATTTTCCAATCTTCGATTTTACAATTTTTCGATTTTTCTGTTCGTCAGTTTTTAGGCTTTGCAATTTGTTTACTTTTCGATTTTCCGATTATTTTTTTCCAGTTTTTTGATTTTTGAATTGTCGACTTTTAGAGTTTTCAACATTATGAATTTTCGAATTTTCGGTTTTCCTATTTTTCGATTTTTGATTTTTCCATTTTTCGGTTTTTTGATTTTTCAATTCTCGGTTTTTCAATCTTGCAAATTTTCGATTTTTCAGATTTGTGAATTTCCAGTTTTTCGATCGACCTACGTATTAGATTCATTGAATTTTCGATTTTCAGTTTTTCCATTTTTAGATTTTTGATTTTCCAGTTTTGTATTTTCAGATTTTCTGTTTTTCGCATATCTGATTTATCAAATTTTCGATTTTTCGGCTTTTCGATTTTTCGATATTTGATTTTCGAATTTTCGATTGTTCAGTTTTCCATTTTTCAGCTTTTAGACTTCAATTTTTTTACTTTTCGATTTTCCAAATTTTCGAGTTTCAATTTTCAAATTTTTGATTTTTCGATTTTCTTTTTAAATCTTTGAATTCTTCGGTTTTGATTTTTCGAACTTTTGATTTTTAATTTTTCCATTCTTCGGTTTTTAGACTTCAATTTTCTTTCTTTTAAATTTTTCGATATTCTATTTTCCGCTTTTCAGAATTTTCGATTTTCAGTTTTCAGACTTTCGATCATTAGAATTTTGGATTTTTCAGTTTTATGATTTTTCGATTTTTACAAAATTTGAGTGGTCGAATTTTCGTTTTTCCGCTTTTGTGGTTTTTCGATTTTTCTGTTTGTTTCAGTTTTTATGGTTCTGCAATTTGTTTTATTTTTCCATTTTTCAATTATTTTACTTTCCGATAGTTTGATTTTTGAATTTTCAGCTTTTCCATTTTTCGATTTGGGATTTTTCAATTTTTCGGTTTTTTAATTTTTCGTATTTCGATTTTCGATTTTTCAGATTTGTGGATTTGTGTCCGTTTTTTCGATTTTTAGAATATTGATTAATCGAATTTTCGATTTTTGAGCATTTTGATTTTTCGATAATCATTTTTACGATTTTTTTTTTGGTTTTGAGAATTTCCAGTTTTTCGATCGACCTAGGTATTAGATTCATTGAATTTTCGATTTTCGGTTTTTCCATTTTTAAATTTTTGATTTTCCAGTTTTGTATTTTCAGATTTTCTGTTTATCGCATATCTGATTTATCAAATTTTCGATTATTCGGCTTTTCGAATTTTCGATATTTGATTTTCGAATTTTCGATATTTGATTTTCGAATTTTCGATTGTTCAGTTTTCCATTTTTCAGCTTTTAGACTTCAATTTTTTTACTTTTCGATTTTCCAAATTTTCGAGTTTCAATTTTCAGATTTTTGATTTTTCGATTTTCTTTTTAAATCTTTGAATTCTTCGGTTTTGATTTTTCGAATTTTTGATTTTTAATTTTTCCATTCTTCGGTTTTTAGACTTCAATTTTCTTTCTTTTAAATTTTTCGATATTCTATTTTCCGCTTTTCAGAATTTTAGATTTTCAGTTTTCAGACTTTCGATCATTAGAATTTTGGATTTTTCAGTTTTATGATTTTTCGATTTTTAGAAAATTTGAGTAGTCGAATTTTCGATTTTTCAATTCATCGATTTTTCTATGTTCAATTTTTCAATTTAAATTTTGCAATTTTCAATTTGTCCATTGTCGATTTTTAGAATTTTCGGTTTTTCAGTTTTCTATTCTCAACTGTTAGACTTCAATTTTGTTACTTCCCGATTTTTTGATTTTCGATTTTCCAATTTTCAGAATTTCCAAGTTTCTTTATTCAGATTTTCGATTTTCCACTTTTTCGATTTTTGTTTTTCCAAATTTTTGTTTTTCCAAATTTTTGACTTTTCGATTTTTTGGTTTTCCCGTTTTTCAATTTTCGATTTTTCGATTTTTGAGGTTTGTGAATTTCCACTTTTCGATCGACCTAGGTATTTGATCATTGAATTTTCGATTTTTTGATTAGCCATTTTTAGATTTTCGATTTTTACGATTTGTATTTTTCGATTTTCTGTTTTTTGCATTAGTGAATTTCAGTTTTTCCGGTTTTTGATTTTGCGCATATTTGATTAATCAAATTTTCGAAAAAGTTACCATGCTTACAAAAACTTCAAAACATCTACAATATTTCAAAGTATTCAGTTTTGCTATTCTTGATTTCTTCAATAAAATAAATTGAATCAGTCATTAACTTTTTTGAGACACCCTGTATAACCAAATCTAAAAAATATTAATGCAGTGATAAATCACAAGTATAAAACTCATCATATTTTATACATTTAAGATAGGATTTATTCTGCAAAATTTTGAGGTGACGTCATAAATTTTTTAGAGGGGATAAGCAAATATATTTTAATTAAAAATGTATCATGTTTATCATGATTTTAAAACATCTGCAAGATTTCAAAGTATTCGATTTTGCAAATTCAAAATTAAATTGCAAAATATTGTTTTATAATAGGCTCAAAACATTTGCGTGCGATTGTACTACATTCAAGGATCTAGGTATCACCTTTGATAGCAAACTGACCTTTAATGCTCAAATTGAAATATTGTGTTTACAGTGTTATAAATTATTGGGTTTTCTTTTTAGAAATACTAGGGATTTTGACAATAGGGTGCTTGTTAGATTTTTTAATGCTTTCATTCGAAGCAAATTAGAATATTGTTCTTGTGTCTGGAATCCGTATTATGATAAATATATACATATGATTGAAGCTGTACAACGTAAATTCTTAAAAACCCTGTATTATAGAAAACATAAAACTTTTCTGGAACATGGATATGCTTATCAAAATCTGTTTGATGAATTTTTATACCAGTCACTGCATGATCGTAAGATATTGTCTGAGGTTATTTTTCTCATTAAACTTATACAAGGTAAAATTTCTGATGGGTACTTACTGGAATTTGTAAATTTCTTATTTACCTACGGCCTCGACGCGCCATTATGCACAACCACCGATTATTTCTATGTGTAGAAAAACTGATCAGTTTTGCGCTGAAATTGATATTTTTACAGTTAGTTTAGATAGATTAAAAAAATATATTATTTCCAGGTTTTAGTTTAGGGATTTTTGTTTTCATTTTTTTTTTTATGAGTTGTAATAATAACTGTTGGATAATAAAGGATTATTTATTTATTTATTTATTTATTTATTTATTTATTTATTTCGATACACGGGACCTGAGAATAATATTTTTTAATTTCGCAGCTGAGGACGGGGAGGAGTTGGCCAAGATCCAAAAAGTCCGGGTGCTCCGCAATGATAAACGTGAAGGATTGATGAGATCGAGGGTGCGAGGGGCCGATGCGGCGACGGCTTCTGTACTCACGTTTTTGGACAGTCATTGCGAGTGTAATGTCAACTGGCTGGAGCCGCTACTGGAAAGGGTTGCAGAGGTCAGTATAATATAGGGCGGAATTGCTGACGTCTGTACCAGCTAAAACTTTTGTCATTACCTAGGAGCTATGTTACATGAGAGAGGTTATTAAGTCGGAATGGAAAGTTAGGGTCAAACTCGAAATTGGACGACGTCAGACCGCTGTAATTTTTCCTTTCATTTTGTTAATGAAGAATGACCAATTGCAAAATGTTACCAATAAAAATTTGCTTATGATTTTTGTCCGCATCCTGGCAAATTTATCAAATTACGGCCCATGCATCTCGTCCAATTTTCCAGTGTTTGCGCCCCGTATTTATCTCAAACAAATCCCCACATTCTCGTTTGACATATTGGCCTCCGGTTTTGATCTTGGTGTAGGTAATTCAATAACTTCCAGGACCCTGAAAGACCCTGATAAATAATTCATTCGAGAGCGTCCTTCGGGGGACGCAAACGAAAACGTTTAATTAACAAAGCAAATTCACCGAAAATTTCCGAATCTAAAGCGTTCCGCAGCAGTTCACAAAGGAAGATCGAGTTTTTAATTAACGGTTTGTTCCAGGATCCGACTCGCGTAGTTTGCCCGGTTATAGACGTAATCAGCATGGATACGTTCCAATACATCGGGGCTTCCGCCGATTTGAGAGGCGGCTTCGACTGGAATCTGGTTTTCAAATGGGAGTATCTGGGATACGCGGAGAGGGAGAGCAGGCAGAGGGACCCCACGCAGGTAGACAATTGAGGGAGTAATTAAAATGCCATTGCGGTGGTTAATATTTCAGGCGATACGGACCCCTATGATAGCGGGAGGGTTGTTCGTCATCAACAGGGCGTACTTCGAAAAGCTGGGCAAATACGATATGAAAATGGACGTTTGGGGCGGCGAGAATTTGGAGATATCGTTCCGAGTGTGGCAGTGCGGGGGCAGTCTGGAGATAATCCCTTGCAGTCGGGTAAATATTGAATTAATAAGCGCGATTTCAATTGATAGATTATGTCTAAATCAATATTTTTTAAAATAAGTTTTTAGACGAGGTGAGAGCATGTTTCGCTTCAACTTTTATATCAATGCGAAGACAACATTGAGCTCTATGGGGAAGAACCGGTCATTTTTGTTCAAAATTTATATTTATCAAAATATTTGCTTTTTAAAAAAATATTGAGTAATGAAAATAACGTGAAACTAAGCGACCCTATTTACAAAGGATCCGTTTCAATCAATGGTTCAGTTTGACACATTTCACTATTTATTCCTGCGAATGCAAATAAAATTTCTAAATTTACAATTTTTTTTTAGAATTTGTCTGATGGGTTGACTTATTTTATAACGAGAATCTACTATCTTCGGAAGTAAGGCATATAAATAAAATTTATAAATTGAAATATAGATTTTGCCAAAATCAATCTTATTTTGGCAAATGATACCTTTATAAACCATGAGGCCTGGAATTCTAGATGCTCCTTTTTTGCTTTAAATAAAGAGCCAGAACTTTTTGGATTCAACCTGGAACGAAGACGTTTAAATGAGTCATAAGTTTGTGAAGGTCCAGCCTTTTTGTATTTTGTAAATGCACAATTTTTTAACTGAATAGAATGAATAACGTCACTACTATTATCTCCAAATTTTGATCATTGTCTCAAAATTTTAAACTGATAAGCTCGAAATTTTGAATTAAGTAATTAAAATGGAAATTCAACGATTTTTTCCACAGTTTTCAATTCAAAATTTACGATTTGGAGATTTTTCATTTTACTTCCCGAGCGTAAGCAAAGGAAGTATTGTAATCGAGTCCGTCGGCCGACTCTCTACTTTTACGTTTTCTCGATCTTTCATGACCCCTAGAAGACGAAGAAATAGGTCTCCCATTTCCGTCTGTCTGTCCGTCTGTCCGTCTGTCCGTCTGTCCGTCTGTCCGTCCGTCTGTCCGTCTGTCCGTCTGTCCGTCCGTCTGTCTGTCCGTCTGTTGTCCCGGATTTTTATTAGACAGATAATCTCCGAAAGTACTCGACCGATTGTTGTGAAATTTTGTACTTATATTAAGAATATCATGTAGATGGTAAAACGCTAACCAAAATTTGTCTAATCATCCCCACCACTAATGCGATGACGTCACTTCAAAATTGTACATAGTAAATGGGTTTTCAATTGTATAAAATAACATAGTCCTACACATGTAGTTTACAACTCCGAATCGACTTTTCACCCGAAACGTCCAGATTTTTGGAAAAAAAATCAAAATTATAAAACAACATTTTGAAATTTAATTTTTAATCTGCTAACCAGAATGCTTTGAAATGTTGCAGATGTTTTAAGGCTATAAAGAGCATCATAAATCTTTAGTCAAAAAATATTTGCTTATCCCCTCCAAAAACTTGATGACGTCAGCTCAAAAGTTTGTGGAATAAATCATATCTAAAATGTACAAAATATGATGAGTCTGTACTTGTGATCTATCACTCCATTCATATTTTTTGGATTTGCATATACAGGGTGACTCAAAAAAATTAATGAATGCGTAAATTTATTTTACTGATTTACTCAGAAACTACAAAACCGAATGCTTTGAAATCTTGCAGATGTTTTAAGGTTCTAAAAAGCATAATAAATGTTTAGTCAAAATATATTTGCTTATCCCCTCCAAAAAATTGATGACGTCAGCTCGAAAGTTTGCCGAATAAATCCTATCTAAACTGTAAAAATATGATGAGTCTGTACTTGTAATTTATCACTCCATTCATATTTTTTGGATTTGCATATACAGGGTGACTCAAAAAAATTAATGAATGCGTAAATATATTTTATTGATTTAATCAGGAACTACAAAACCGAATGCTCTGAAATCTTGCAGATGTTTTAAGGTCATAAAGAGCATAATAAATGTCTAGTCAAAATATATTTGCTTATCCCCTCCAAAAACTTGATGACGTCAGCTCGAAAGTTTGCCGAATAAATCATATCTAAAATATACAAAATATGATGAGTCTGTACTTGTCATTTATCACTCCATTTATATTTTTTGGATTTGCATATACAGAGTGACTCAAAAAAATTAATGAATGCGTAAATTTATTTTACTGATTTACTCAGAAACTACAAAACCGAATGCTTTGAAATATTGCAGATGTTTTAAGGTTCTAAAGAGCATAATAAATGTTTAGTCAAAATATATTTGCTTATCCCCTCCAAAAAATTGATGACGTCAGCTCGAAAGTTTGCCGAATAAATCCTATCTAAACTGTAAAAATATGATGAGTCTGTACTTGTAATTTATCACTCCATTCATATTTTTTGGATTTGCATATACAGGGTGACTCAAAAAAATTAATGAATGCGTAAATATATTTTATTGATTTAATCAGGAACTACAAAACCGAATGCTCTGAAATCTTGCAGATGTTTTAAGGTCATAAAGAGCATAATAAATGTCTAGTCAAAATATATTTGCTTATCCCCTCCAAAAACTTGATGACGTCAGCTCGAAAGTTTGCCGAATAAATCATATCTAAAATGTACAAAATATGATGAGTCTGTACTTGTCATTTATCACTCCATTTATATTTTTTGGATTTGCATATACAGAGTGACTCAAAAAAATTAATGAATGCGTAAATATATTTTATTGATTTAATCAGGAACTACAAAACCGAATTCTTTGAAATCCACTGCGAAAAAAAAAACATAATAGGCATGCAGTCGTCACGTTTCCGACAGCGAGGGAAGTACTGTCTAAACTCTTTAGACCAATTTTTTATTTTTTAATTTTCACCAAACTACCTCCAACTGAATACTCGAGAAATCAAAAATCTAGAATTGTAAAAAATTGAACAATTAAAATATCGAAAAGTTGAAAAATTGAAAAATCTAAAATTTAAAAAACCAAAAACTGAAAATCGGAAAATCCAGAAGCCGAAAAATCGTAAGTTTAAAAAATCGAAAAATTCAAAAATCAGAAATCTGAGAAATCGAAAAATTGAAACATCAAAAACCTGAAAAATGGAAAAATTGAAGAATTGAAGAAGTGAAAAATCGAAACTTTGGGAAGAAATGGAAAAATAAAAAAAAAATATTATTCCAAAAATCGGAAAACTGAAAATTTTAAAATGCCAAAATTTGAAAAATTCAAAAATAGAAAAATCGAAATATGTATTTAGAAATCGTAAAATTGAAGAGGATAAAAATTGAGAAATTGTATCACTGAAACATCGGAAAATTAAAAAATCGAAAAATAAAAAATCGAGAAACCGAAAATTTGAAGAATGGAAAAATTGAAAATGTCCAAAATTGAAATACTGAAAAATTGAAACATCAAAAGTTGAATTGAAAAATCAAAAACCTGAAAACTGGAAAATTCAAGTATTGAAGAAGTGAAAAATTGAAACTTTGGAAAGTCGAGAAATGGGGAAATAAAAGAGATTTTTTGGGAATGTACAGTTATTTTTATGTTTTAGCAGCATTGCGTTTTATTTTCTATTAATTTTTGCATATTTTCAGTCACAATTTTGGTAGTTATTTTTTGCTTTAACTTTTAGCAATAATAAATAATCCAAACATGAAAAAAACAAAAAAATAAAAAATGGAAAATCTAAAATTTAAAAATCGAGAAATTGAAAAATCGGATCATTGAAAAATCGAAACATCGAAAAATTGGAAAATCAAAAAGTTAAAAAAAAGATGGAAAATCGAAAATTTTAAAAATCCCGAAAATTGAAATATTGAAATATAGAGGAACTGAAAACTCGAGAAATCAAAAATCTAGAATTTTAAAAAATTGAAAAATTAAAATATGGGAAAGTTGAAAAATTGAGAAATCGAAATATCAAACAGCCGAAAAATTGAAAAATCCAAAGTTTAAAAAACGAAAAACTGGAAATCGGGAAATCCAGAAGTCGAAAAATTAAAAGTTTAAAAAATCGAAAAATTGAAAAATCAAAAATCTGAGGAATTGAAGAAGCGAAAAATCGAAACTTTGGGAAAAAATGGGAAAATAAAAAAAAAGATTACTTCAGAAATCGGAAAACTGAAAATTTAAAAACGTCAAAATTTGAAAAATTCGAAAATTGAAAAATCGAAATACGTATTTAGAAATCGTAAAATTGAAAAGGATAAAAACTGAGAAATTGTATCGTTGAAACATCGGAAAATTCAAAAATCGAAAAATAAAAAATCGAGAAACCGAAAATTTGAAGAATCTACAAAAAAATGTATAATTTTACATAGATTTGTACTGTTCAAAGGACGATTCTGGAAAAACCATTGGAGTTATCGAAGAAACGAAAGCGGAAATGACTTCTGCGGCCTGAAATCTACAAGAAAATGTATACTTTGAAATTTCGAAAATTTCGTTGAAAATTGGTGGAAAATTGGTAGTATTTTACATAGATCGAAAAGTTAAAAAAAAAGATGGAAAATCGAAAATTTTAAAAAACTCGAAAATTGAAATATAGAGGAACTGAAATCTCGAGAAATCAAAAATCTAGAATTTTAAAAAATTGAAAAAATTAAAATATCAAAAAGTTGAAAAATTGAGAAATCGAAATATAAAACAGCCGAAAAATTGAAAAACCCAAAGTTTAAAAAATGAAAAACTGAAAATCGGGAAATCCAGAAGTCGAAAACTCGTAAGTTTAAGAAATCGAAAAATTGAAAAATCAAAAATCTGAGAAATCGAAAAATTGAAACATCAAAAACCTGAAAAAGAATTGAAGAAGTGAAAAATCGAAACTGGGAAGAAATTGGAAAATAAAAAAAAAGATTACTTCAGAAATCGGAAAACTGAAAATTTAAAAACGCCAAAATTTGAAAAATTCAAAAACTGTAAAATCGAAATACGTATTTAGAAATCGTAAAATTGAAGAGGATAAAAATTGAGAAATTGTATCATTGAAACATCGGAGAATTGAAAAATCAGAAAATAACAAAATGGAAAAACCGAAAATTTGAAGAATGGAAAAATTGAAAATGTCCAAAATTGAAATACTGAAAAATGGAAACATCTAAAATTGAATTGAAAAATCAAAAACCTGAAAAATGGAAAAATTCAAGTATTGAAGAAGTGAAAAAATGGAAACTTTGGGAAGTCGAGAAATGGGAAAATAAAACAGATTTTTTGGGAAAGTATAGTTATTTTTATGTTTTAGAAGCATTGTGTTTTATTTTATATTAATTTTTGCATATTTTTAGTCACAATTTTGGTACTTATTTTTTACTTTAACTTTTAGCAATAGTAAATACTCCAAACATTAAAAAAACAAAAAAATAAAAATTGGAAAATCTAAAATTTAAAAATCGGATCATTGAAAAATCGAAACATCGAAAAATTGGAAACTCGAAAAGTTAAAAAAATATGGAAAATCGTAAATTTTAAAAATACCGAAAATTGAAATATTGAAATATAGAGAAACTGAAAACTCGATAACTCAAAAATCTAGAATTTTAAAAAATTGAAAAATTAAAATATCAAAAAGTTGAAAAATTGAGAAATCGAAATATAAAACAGCCGAAAAATTGAAAAATCCAAAGTTTAAAAAACGAAAAACTGAAAATCTGGAAATCCAGAAGTCGAAAAATCGTAAGTTTAAAAAATCAAAAAATTGACAATTCAAAAATCTCAGAAATCGAAAAATTGAAATATTAAAAACGTGAAAAATCGAAAAATTGAAGAATTTAACAAGTGAAAAATCGAAACTTTGGGAAGAAATGGGAAAATAAAAAAAGATTACTTCAGAAATCGAAAAACTGAAAATTTAACAACGTCAAAATTTGAAAAATTCAAAAATTCAAAAATTGAAATATTTAGAAATCGTAAAATAATTGAGGGTAAAAATTGAGAAATTGTATCATTGAAACATCGGAAAATTGAAAAATCGAAAAATAACAAAATGGAGTAACCGAAAATTTAAAGAATGGAAAAAATGAAAATGTCCAAAATTGAAATATTGAAAAGTTGATTCTTTTAAAGTGAATAATATCAATAATGTATTTATAAACCACAAGTTCAGGACTATGCTACTTTTTAACATTTAAATAACATTTGCTTCCGATAACTATAAATTGGAAAATGTTGATTTTTTTCCAAAAATCTTGACATCTGAGGTAAAAACTCAACACGGATTCATAAACGGAGGATATAAAATTTAAATTACATCCACTTCTGTCAAATTTGGACATATTCTCTAGGAAAATAAGGGTGGGTGGGCGGGTATAGTACTTGTCAAGATAAGACTGATTTTGGCAGATGACCCACTCTTCTAAGAAAGTAAAGGGTGGGTGGGCGGGGCTAGTACTTGTCAAGATGAGACTGATTTTGGCAGATGACTTATTCTTCTAAGAAAATAAAGCATGGGTGGGTGGGATCAGCACTTGCTAAAAACAAAAAATTAAAAATCAAAAAATGACAAATTGAAAAATCGGATAAATGAGAAATCGGAAAATTGTACAACTGTATAATCGGAAAATCAAAAACTGAAATATCGAAAAATTGAAAAAAAAACAAATCTTATACATCGAATTCGAAATTCCAGTTTTAAATTTTTTCAGTTTTTAGATTTTTCAACTTTTGAATATTTCATTTGATAATTTGTTTGACAATTTTGCAGTTTTTAATTCCAATCTTTTGATTTTTCAAGTTTTAACTTCACAATTTTTGAATCTTTTGATTTTTAATTTTTCAAGTTCTCAAGTCAAAATTTTTCCTTTTCACGACTTGTCATTTTTCGATTTTTTAACTAAAAGAAAAAATTTATTCGAACCGAAATCTTGAAAAATTGAAAATTAGGAACAAAATTTTCAGATGTTTTAAAGTTTCGGTAAACATGGCAAATCGCTGATGAAAATTGCTTTTTACTTCCTTCCAAAAACTCGGTGACAAAAAATCAAAAATCGAAAATAAAAAAAATAAACATCTATTTTCTCGATATTTTTACAAATCAAATAATTGAGAATTCGGAAAATGCCAAAATTGTAAAATTAAAAAATCGAAAGTTTTTTTCAGTTGTCCAGAGAAATCAAAAATCGAAAGACAGATCAAAAAATTGAAAATTTAAAAAGCGAGAAATTGAAGAATTCGAAAGTTGAAAAATCGAAAAACTGAAGAATCTAGTAGGACGCACTACGATAAGACTGATTTTGGCAAATGATCTACTCTCTTAAGAAAACAAAGGGCGGGTGGGTGGAGCTAGTATTTGCCAAAATAAGACTCATTTTGGCCAATGACCTACTCTTCTAAGAAAATAAAGAATATGTCATCTGCCAAAATCAGTCTTATCTTCGCAAGTATGAGATTGATTTTTGCAAATGACATATCCTCTAAGAAAACAAGGGTGGGTGGGCGGGGCTAGTATTTTTTTAAAATAAGACTGATTTTGGCAAATGACCCGCTCTTCAAAGAAAATAAAGGGTGGGTGGGAGGGGCGTGTATATTTATTTATTTGACAAGTACTAGCAAATTTCGACCCATTTTCGACGATTTTCGAAATTTAACTAAATACTTTTTCTTGTAGATTTCGAGTACAGGGGTGACTTGCGGCCTCATTTCTTCGATAACTTTAACCTTTTTTCCAGAACTAGATAATTAATTCAGTGCATTGAGATATCACAATTTTTAAAAATTTCAAAAAATTACCCATAGAAAGAAGATCTTGCGTCATTTTTGCAAGTAGGTGCATGTTTTCGAGTTCAGTTCGGATTGCAGAGTTTTTGTTCAGATTAAAGAGATATCGACTTCAACTAGCCTCTGTTCGGATTACTGGATGTTCGGATAATCGTGTGTTCGGATTATAGAGGTTATACTGTATTTAGAAATCGTAAAATTGAAGAGGATAAAAATTGAGAAATTGTATCAAATTTGTGAAGGCAATTATCGATTTTACAACTATGCTTCGCCTCTCGGTCTGATAACGAATGAAAACTTCATCAAAATTAAGATCGAGGCGGCTATGGGTGGGGCTTAATCTTTGTTTTTTTTTTTTTTTTCTTAATATACATCGAATTCTTTGAAGAACACGATATTCAAAAACATTTTTTAATTTCTTGTGGAAAAATAACGATGTTGCAGTTAACCTCCGCCCTCTTGACTCACGACGAATAAAAAAAATCATCACAATTGAGACAGGGTGGGTGGGCGGGGCTTATCTCTTAGCTTTCTTTTTACTAAATACATTTAGTTTCCTTTGTATAACACGATTACTTAAGAACATGTTCCACATGGTAGAAAAATAAAGATTTTGCAATTAAGCTCAGCCCCCGGTTTACGACGAAAAAAAATGTATTACTATTGAGATAGGGTACGTAGTCATCTTTTCACAACAAGAAACTTAAATCATGTTTGAAACAGTAAATTTGTGAAGGGATTATCGATTTTGCAAATATGGTCCGCCTCTGGGTGGGGCTTATTCTTTGGCTGTATTTTTTTTCTTAATATCGTATTTGAGGAACACGAATTCAAAAACATTTTTTAATTTCGTGTAGAGGAATAAGGATTTTGCAGTTAACCTCCGCCCTCTTGACTCACGACGAATAAAAAAAATCATCACAATTGAGACAGGGTGGGTGGGCGGGGCTTATCTCTTAGCTTTCTTTTTACTAAATACATTTAGTTTCCTTTGTATAACACGATTACTTAAGAACATGTTCCACATGGTAGAAAAATAAAGATTTTGCAATTAAGCTCAGCCCCCGGTTTACGACGAAAAAAAATGTATTACTATTGAGATAGGGTACGTAGTCATCTTTTCACAACAAGAAACTTAAATCATGTTTGAAACAGTAAATTTGTGAAGGGAATTATCGATTTTGCAAATATGGTCCGCCTCTGGGTGGGGCTTATTCTTTGGCTGTATTTTTTTTCTTAATATACATCGTATTTGAGGAACACGAATTCAAAAACATTTTTTAATTTCGTGTAGAGGAATAAGGATTTTGCAGTTAACCTCCGCCCTCTTGGCTCACGACGAATAAAAAGAATCGTCACAATTGAGACAGGGTGGGTGGGCGGGGCTACATTTTGCCTTTTGATTCTTAATATACATAGTCATCTTTTCAAGACAAGGGACTTAAAACACGGTTAAAATGGTACATTACATTACAATTTGGTACTTTGTGTTGCATAGTTACAAAAATGTCGTTTTTCCGCCCCAGGTCGGCCACGTCTTCAGGAAACGCCACCCCTACACCTTCCCCGGAGGCAGCGGCAACGTGTTCGCACGTAACACTCGTCGCGCCGCCGAGGTCTGGATGGACGACTACAAACACTTCTACTACGCTTCCGTCCCCCTCGCCAAGAACGTTCCATTCGGAGAGTGAGTGCCATAATGCCAAAGCAAACCATCCCTGATCGAATTTTTGCAGTATCTCGGAGCGTCTGGATCTGCGCAACAAATTGCAGTGCAAACCCTTCAAGTGGTACCTCCAGAACGTGTATCCCGAGCTGTCCATCCCGCAGGCCACGTCGTCGCACGTGGGCGAGCTGCGCCAGGGTATGTACTGCATGGACACCATGGGCCACTTGATCGACGGCAGCGTGGCCCTGTACCAGTGCCACCACACCGGGGGCAACCAGGAGTGGGGTTTGACCAGCGGCGGCTTGATCAAGCACCACGACCTGTGTCTGACGCTGCTGGATTACATGAAGGGGGCGCCGGTGGTCATGCGGATTTGCGACGGCTCGGACAGCCAGAAGTGGCACCTGATCGAGCCCGGAGGTCTGCTGAGGCACTCTAGGTTTCCTCTATGTTTAGATTCTAGGTATACGGATGTTAAGGGTATTACGGCCGAACGATGCAATAGTAATTTAGAGACGCAGAGGTGGAAGCTTACCAGTACTTCGTAATTGTTGGCGATGAAGTTGATGCCCGATTCTCTAGTCAATTCCGGAAGGGTCCGATGGGAGATTTTTGTTCTGCTCGATTTCAATCAAAATCTCTAACAAAAGACATAACTAGGCTATCCTTGTGATTTAACCGTAAATGTTGTAGATATTTTATACAAAGTACTCAAGTTGTTGACGATGAAATGGTACGTTCCACGCTTCCCTCTCGGTTCTGGTTATTGGTGTAGTTCTGTTGGTTTTTAATACTCATTACGATTAAGGCCAGTGTTGATCGTTACACTTGATTAACCTGAATATTCTACTTTTTATTTATATTGTTAACGGCCGCTTAATACGGAAAGTGTGAATAGAGCATTTTTTGGTATTAACCGAGCATGAGTGGTTGTGATATTTTAGACAAATTAGTCACGTTAATGCTAATTGCTTTCAAATTTAAGTTCCAAAACGGGTATATCTTCAACCCTGCACTCTTTGTTCAGTGTGTTTTGTCCTTGCTTTACCTATTTTACCACATAAGATTGATTACAGTATTCAATAACCTACATTTGGTTTGCAAACTTAGTAGACAATAATTAGTACTCTATGAAAGACTTTTTGATATACTTAGGTACCGCTTTTGTTTTTACTTTTCTTTTTGTACTTATTTCTACTGTAAATATTTTTAGTTAAATTGTACTTATAAAGATAGGCACGGAATACTATTATTGTAAATATTCATAGCGAATTTATGTAAAAATTTTGTATTATCTTAAATTAAGGGAAATAAAAAATTCAACTTGCTCGTTTTTTTTTTCTCTATTTCTTTTCAGACCATTTTGAGAGACGATATTCTGACAAGGAATAATTTTAAGATGACAAGAGTAACGAGAAAACTCAAAATGACTAATTTTATGTTTTCTCGACGTCTCTCGATTTTATATCACAATTTTTGGTTTCCTCAGTATTTAATTTTTGTCATTTTCAATTTTTCAAATACTTGCTCGATTTTTATTTTTCATTTTCCCGTTTTTTTTAATTTCTATTTTCTCGATTTTATGTCACAAATTTTCATTTTTTCAATTCCTTTATTTCTTGTTTCTTTGGATTTTTCAATTTTTCGAATTTTTCAATTTTTAAATTTTTCACTTCGCAGTTTTTAGATTTCCAGTTTTCCGATTTTCCAATTTCTTTAATTTTCAATATTTCTATTTCATAATACATATTTCTTTTTTTTATTTTTCACTTTTTCGATTCTTAAGATTTGTCAAGTTTTCATTTTGTAATTTTTCGTTTCTTATTTTTGATTTTTCAATTTTACAATTTCTCGACTTCAAAAATTTTCAATTTTCAATTTTTCAGTTTCCCAATTTTTAATTTTTCGCTTTTCCAATTTTTTTGTTTCCGATTTTTATTTTGCGTTTTCCTAATTTTTTATTTTTCATTTTCTCGATTTTATATCACAATTTTTTGTTTTTTCATTTCCTTAATTTTTGTTGTTTCTTTCGATTTTCCAATTTTTCGTTCATTCAATTTTTCTAATTTTCAGGCCAATCGTCGATTTTACAATTTTTAAATTTTTCAGTTTGAAGTTTTTGGGTTTCCACCCCTTTTTTACTGTTTGGATTTTCAATTTTTCGTTAAACTTTAGATTTTTCAAATTTTCGACAGTTTTATACTTCGATTTCTAAATTTTTTTCAACTTTTCCATGTTTTAATTATCCTTTTTTAAAAATTTTCAATTTTTTTATTTCTCGATTTATCGAAATCAGATGTTTGGCCGTTTCGATTGTTCAATTTCTCGATTTATCAGTTTCTCAATTTTTTTCTATTTCTCGATGTTTTGATTTTTCAATTTTTTTAAATTCGAAAATTGGTCGAATTTTCAGTTTTTCGATTTTTAAGTTTTAGGTTTTCGAATTTTTCTTTTTTGATTCTTTGATGTTCGGATTTCTCCATTTTTCAATTTTGCGATATTTCAATTGTTCAATGTTTTAAATGTTAGATTTTTCGATTTCTGGATTTTTTGATTTTCCAGTTCTTCAGTATTTCTATTTTCGAATTTTTCAAATTTTGACGTTGCTAAATTTTCATTTTTCCGATTTTTTTTTCTCTTGCAGGAAAGAGATGAAGAATAAAAACATGATGATGCAAGGGGGAAAATAGAATATTAGAACATTTATAAAAGTATTTAAGATTTTCATGTACTTTTGTCGTGAGAAAATACAATTGATTCAAACCAAGCACAAAGAGCTAATAAAAGTGTTAGCATGAGTATGGTTTAAAAAAGACTAAATATTTTACATCAATAAGTATTTTTTTTTAGAAAAAAATATCTCGAATAATTAAGATTTTAAGAACCTTCTGATTTTCAACATTCTCATATTTATGCAACTTATTTCATTTTTTATTCACTCAAGCTCATTTCGTGTGGAATTACTGTGGTCACGGAGCAACATTTTTAAAAGAATCGGAAAAAGGATAATAAGGACGAAAAAGGAGGAAAAATGAAGGAAAGGACGAAAACAACGAAAGAGGACGAAAAAGAAAGACAAGGACGGAAAAATTGCGAACAGGACGAAAAACTACGAAAAGGACGAAGAAAAAACGAAAATGACAAAAAGGACGAAAAAGGACCAACATGGACGAAATGGACGAAAAAGACGAAAAAGGACGAGAAGGACGAAAGGGACGAAAAAGAAAGACAAGGACGAAAAATTGCCAACAGAACGAAAAACTATGAAAAGGCCGAAGAAAAAACGAAAATGGCAAAAAGGACGAAAAACAGCGAAAAGGACGAAAAAGAACCAACAAGGACGAAAACGACGAAAAAGGACGAAAGGGACGAAAAAGGACAAAAAGGTCGAAAAAGAACGAATAAGGACGAAAAGGATAAAAAATTACGCAAAGGACGAAAACGGACGAAAAAGAACGAAAAAGGACCAAAAAAAGGAGGAAAAAGAATAATAAGAACGAAAATGACGAAAAAGGACGAAAATGACGAAAGGGGACGAAAAAGGATAATAAGAACGAAAAAGGACGAAAATTACGAAAGAGGACGAAAAAGGACGAAAGCAACGAAAGAGGACGAAAAAGAAAGACAAGGACGAAAAACTACGAACAGGACGAAAAACTGAAAAGGACGAAGAAAAAACGAAAATAACATACGAAAAACAGCGAAAAGGACGAAAAAGGACCAATAAGGACGAAAAAGACGAAAAAGGACGAAAGGGACGAAAAAGGACAAAAAGGTCGAAAAAGAACGAATAAGAACGAAAAGGACGAAAAGGATAAAAAATTACGCAAAGGACGAAAAAGAACGAAAAAGGATGAAAAGGACGAAAAAGGATTATAACAACGAAAATGACGAAAAAGGACGAAAATGACGAAAGAGGACGAAAAAGGATAATAAGAACGAAAAAAGACGAAAATTACGAAAGAGGACGAAAAAGGACGAGAGTAGCGAAAAAGGATAATAAGGACGAAAAGGACAAAAAAAGGACGAAAAGGACGGAAAAGGACGAAAAAGGATAACAAGGGCGAAAAGAAGGAAAAAGGACGAAAAGGAGGAAGAGGACGAAAAATGACGACAAGGACGAAAAAAGATAATAAGGACGAAGAAGGACGAAAACGATGAAAGAGTACCATAAAGAAAGAAAAGGACGAGAAATTACGGAAAGGACGAAAAACCACCAAAAAGGACGAAAACAACGAAAAACTACGAAAAAGGACCAACAAGGATGAAAAGGACGACAAAGGACGAAAAAAAACGAATATGAACGACAAGGACGAAAAGGATAAAAAATTACGCAAAAGAGGAAAAAGGATAATAAGAATAAAAAAGGACGAAAATGACGAAAGAGGACGAAAAAGGGCGAAAGGGAAGAAAAGGACGAAAAAGGTTGAAAAAGACGAAAAAGGGTAATAAGGACGAAAAAGGATAATAAGGACGAAAAAAGATAATAAGGACAAAGAAGGACAAACACGATGGAAGAGTACGATAAAGAAAGAAAAGGACGAAAAAGGGCGAAATGGACGAAAAACCACCAAAAAGGACGAAAACAACGAAAAACTACGAAAAGGACGAAGAAGAAACGAAAATGACAAAAAGGACGAAAAATAGCGAAAAGGACGAAAAATGACCAACAAGGATGAAAAGGACGGAAAGGATGAAACGGACGAAAAAGAACAAAAAGCACGAAAAAGAACGACTAAGAACGAAAAGGATAAAAAATTACACAAAGGACGAAAAAGGATAATAAGAACGAAAAAGGACGAAAATGATGAAAGAGGACGAAAAAGAGCGAAAGGGAAGAAAAGGACGAAATGGACGAAAAAAGATAGTAAGGACGAAGAAGGACGAAAACGATGAAAGAGTACGATAAAGAAAGAAAAGGGCGAGAAATTACGAAAAGGACGAAAAAGGGCGAAATGGACGAAAAACCACCAAAAAGGACGAAAACAACGAAAAACTACGAAAAGGACGAAGAAGAAACGAAAATGACAAGAAGGACGAAAAATAGCGAAAAGGACGAAAAAGGACCAACAAGGATGAAAAGGACGAAAAAGGACAAAAAAGGACGAAAAGGACGAAAAAAGACGAAATGGATGAAACGGACGAAAAAGAACAAAAAGCACGAAAAAGAACGAATAAGAACGACAAGGACGAAAAAGGATAATATAAACGAAAAAGGACGAAAACGACGAAAAAGGGCGAAAGGAAAGAAAAGGACGAAATGGACGAAAAAAGGATAATAAGGACGAAAAAAGGTAATAAGGACGAAGAAGGACGAAAACGATGAGAGTACGATAAAGAAAGAAAAGGACGATAAGGACGAAGAACCAACAAAAAGGACGAAAAACTACGAAAACATGAAAATGACAAAAAGGACGAAAAATATGGAAAAAGGACCAACAAGGACGAAAAAGGACAAAAAAGGACGAAAAGGACGAAACGCCCGAAAAAGGAGAAAAAGAAAGAAAAAGAACGAATAAGAACGAAAAGGACGAAAAGGATAAAAAATTACCCAAAGGACGAAAACGGAGGAAAAAGAACGAAAAGGGACGAAAATGACGAAAGAGGACGAAAGGGAAGAAAAGGACGAAATGGACGAAAAAGGAGGAAAAGGACAAAAAGGACGAAAATGGACGAAAGGGACGAAAAAGAATAATAAGGACGAAAAAGGTCGAAAAGGACGAAAAAGGACGAAAAAGGACAAAAAGAAAGAAAAAGAACGAATAAGAACTAAAAGGACGAAAAGGATAAAAAATTACCCAAAGGACGAAAACGGAGGAAAAAGAACGAAAAGGACGAAAAAGGATAATAAGAACGAAAAAGGACGAAAATGAGGAAAACGGACGAAATTGACGAAAGAGGACGAAAAAGGACGAAAAGGACGAAAAAGGACGAAAATGGACGAAAGGGACGAAAAAGGATAATAAGAACGAAAAAGGACGAAAAGGACGAAAACGACAAACCAGGACGAAAAAGCGGAAAAGGACAAAAGAGGACGAAAAAGGATAACAAGGACGAAAAGGAGGAATAGGACGAAAAGGACGAAAAAGGATTATAAGAACGAAGAAGGATGAAAACAATGAAAGAGTACGATAAATAAATAAAAGGACGAGAAATTACGAAAAGGACGATAAGGACGAAAAACCACCAAAAAGGACGAAAAATAAAGACAAAGACGAAAAATTGCGAACAGGACGAAAAACTACGAAAAAACGAAAATGACAAAAAGGACGAAAAATTGCGAAAAAGGACCAACAAGGACGAAATCAATAAAGTATTGATTGATTGAAAAGGACGAAGAAGACGAAAAAGGAAAAAAAGGACGAAAAGCACGAAAAAGGACGTAAAGGACGAAACGGACGAAAAAGAATAAACAAGAACGAAAAGGATAAGAAATTACGCAAAGGACGAAAAAGGATAATAAAACGAAAAAGGATAATAAGGACGAAAAAGGATAATAAGGACGAGAAGAACGAAAAGGAGGAAAAGGACGGAAAGGACGAAAAAGGATAACAAGGACGAAAAAGGACGGAAGGACGAAAAAGGACGAAAAAGGAGGAAAATGGACGAAAAGCGAAAACCTAAAAAATATAACATTGAAACGATTGTGGAGATGGAAACGGGGACCGATTTTGGACTGTACTATAATACAAAAGTGCTGAATTTCTTGTTGGAACCATAAGTGTCAAGTTTGTGTAGCAGCGTCATGCCTCAACACGTTTCCTGTATATCCAGTCCAACGATGACGTCAGTTATGTGTACCTTATGTCAGGAATGAAAGTCTTTTTTGTTGTGTCACTCTTTATTGATGCAATAGGCATAAAACCGTGTACAATACTGCTAAAATGAACCACAAGTTCAAAACATCTCATACGAAAATATCTTGCCTTTAAAACCGAGCGTTTCGAACCTATGAAACTAAAAAATAATTAAACCTAGGAATGCAAGCAAACCATTGCAGCAATAACATACAAAAATACATTTGTAGAATTCAACAACGTTTAGAAAATAAAACCTGAGCCTCTTAAATACACGCGGACGCAGTCCGAACTTTTGAACTATCGATAAATACTGATTTTTCGTGAGCTCCTATGCACGATTTGAACACAACAACATCCAGTGACTTTTGATAAACGACTCGGTGAATTGACAATTCCAAGACACGTTTGCGAAAACACTTAAAAAACGTTTGATTGTTTCGTGATCGTTTGACGACTACTCCCTAACCAAAGTGTAAACAGATCTACCAGTACGAAGTTAAGGCAAAATATAAGGCCGCACCAAAGTATATCCGAAACGAACCTTGAAGTACTTAATAAAAAACTCATCTAGGAAAAGTTGAATATAAAATCTTAAAAAATAACATTCGTTTAAAACCGACTAGATTCAACAACGGGACGTCCCTCCAGTGTATAAAACCTTAACCTAAGCACAGTAGCCGGATATGTTCGTGAGGCACATTGAAAATTCGATTATTCGCAGGCCAGCTTGCTGTCGAAGCTGCTCAGCGCGATGGCGAAGGCCTGCAGGGCGCACATCGGATACCGAAAGTCCATCGTGAAGACGTCCTCGGCGACGCGCCCGAACTGCATCACCACGTACTCCACGTCGCTGTCGTGCACGATCTGGAAATTCTTCACCGACGCCTGCGTCACGCGCCCGTGGAAGTTCAGCACGTACGACTGCGTGTCGTCGTTCCACACCGGCGTCTTGTTGTGCAGCTCGATCAGGTTGTCCATGTTCTTCGACTTCCAGCACTCGATCAGGCTCTCGCTCTCGTCCTGCGGGTAGATGGCGACTCGCTGCTGCTCGAGCGTCATACCCGGCAGGATCACGGTCATCTTGCGGGGGCCCTTGAAGCCGAGCACGTTGGTGTCGTACGTCACCGCCGCCAGCTCCTGGCGGGGCGTCGCGCCGTCCTTGAAGTTCGCCTTCCGGGGGGAGATCCCGTTGTCGTAGACCGTGAACTGGGTGCCGAGGAGGTTCGAGCGGAGCTTGCCTGCGAACAGGACGGATCTGCACGTGACGTACGGATCGATCTAACTTGGCTGTGACAGGTACCGCGATCCCTGCCCTTAAGGGGGAACGCTAGACACAGTTCTATTTTTAAACGCTCTGTATTTTTGCTCGGTAAAAATGATAAATGCTAAGTTATATAATAAATGCTCAGTTAAAAAATAAATTCTCTGAAAATAGAAAATCCAGAAATTCATTAGTTCTCAATATTCAAATCCTGAAAAATTGAGTATTGAAAACTTGAAAAATTGAGAAATCCAAGCATCAAAAAATAGTAAAATCGAAAAATGTAAAATTTAAAAAATCCAAAAATTGAGAAATAAAAGAAAAGAAAAATCAAAAATTTAAAAATTCGAAAAATTGAAAAATTAAAAAATCGAAACATTGAAGAATTGGGAAATCGAAACACCAAAAAAATCGAAAAAACAAAAATCTAAAATTCAAAAATCAAAAAATTGAACACTCGAAAAGCCAAAAAGTCGAAAAATCGAAACATCGGAATGTTCAAAAACTGAAACATCGAGAAATCAAAACATCAACACTAGAGGAGGCAAAATCCCAGAACTGAAATACTGAAAAACTAAAAAATGGAAAGAAAATTGAAGAATCGGAAAACTGAAAAAATCCAAAACTGAAACATTGAAAAATACAGAAATCGAAAAATTGAAAAATCACAATTGAAGAAAGAATTGAAAAATCGAGAAATAGAGAAATGGGAAAATAAAAAAATCAGTTAATCGAAAAATTTAGAAACGTCAAAAATTGAAAACTGAAAAATAAAAAAATTCAAAAATCGTAAAACTGAAACATCGGAAAATTGAGAAATCGAAAAATGAAGAAATTCGTGAACCCGAAAATATGAAGAATCGAGAAATCGAAGAATCGATAAATTGAAAATTCCCAACAGTAATCTATCGAAAAATTGAGAAATCGAAATCGAGCAAAACTGAAGTATTGTATAGTTAATAAATTGACAAACTGAAAATTTTTGAAAAAAAAAATCGTATCAAAAACTAAAAATGAAAAAAATCGAGAAATTGAACAATCAAAAAATCAAAACATTGAAATCCCAGTAAGTTGATAAATAGGAAAATTTAAAAAACAAAAATTTTAAAAATCCAAGAATTGAACAACAAAAAAAATCCAAGTCTGAAAACTCAGAAAATCGAATGATCGAGAACTCAAAACATCAAAGAAAACAAAAAATCTAAAATTTAAAAATTTGACAAATTGAAAAATCACGGAACTGAAAAATCGAAAAATCGAGATAGTGAGAAATCTAAAAACCTAAAAGTTTAAAAACACAATATCAAAAATTTGAAAAATTGAAGAAACGAAATATTGCAAAATCCCAGAACTGAAATACCGAAAAACTGAAAAATGGAAGGAAAATTGAAAAATCGAAAAAGTGAAAAAATTCAAAACTGAAATCTTGAAAAACTGAAAAATGGAAAGAAAATTGAAGAATCGGAAAAGTGAAAAAATCCAAAACTGAAACATTGAAAAATTCAGAAATCGAAAAATTGAAAAATCACAATCGAAGAAAGAATTGAAAAATCGAGAAACAGAGAAATGGGAAAATAAAAAAATCAGTTAATCGAAAAATTGAGAAATCGAAATCGAGCAAAACTGAAGTATCGTAAAGTTAATAAATTGAAAAACTGAAAATGTTTGAAAAAAAATCGTATCAAAAACTAAAAATTCAAAAAATCGAGAAATTGAACAATAAAAAAATCAAAACATTGAAATCCCAATAAGTTGATAAATAGGAAAATTTAAAAAACAAAAATTTTAAAAATCCAAGAATTGAACAACAAAAAAAATCCAAGCCTGAAAACTCAAAAAATCGAATGGTCGAGAACTCAAAACATCAAAGAAAACAAAAAGTCTAAAATTTAAAAATTCGACAAATTGAAAAATCATGGAACTGAAAAATCGAAAAATCGAGATAGTGAGAAATCTAAAAACCTAAAACTGTAAAAACTGAAAAAATTAAAATATCTGAAAATTGAAAATCCAGAAATTGAAAAGTTCTCAATATTTAAATCCTGAAAAATTGAGTATTGAAAACTTGAAAAATTGAGAAATCCAAGCATCAAAAAATAGTAAAATCGAAAAATGTAAAATTTAAAAAATCCAAAAATTGAGAAATAAAAGAAAAGAAAAATAAAAAATTTAAAAATTCGAAAAATTGAAAAATTAAAAAATCGAAGCATTGAAGAATTGGGAAATCGAAACACCAAAAAAATCGAAAAAACAAAAATCTAAAATTCAAAAATCAAAAAATTGAACACTCGAAAAGCCAAAAAGTCGAAAAATCGAAACATCGGAATGTTCAAAAACTGAAACATCGAGAAATCAAAATATCAACAGTAGAGGAGTGAAAAAATCAAAAAATTAAGAAATCAAATTAGACCAAAATTGAAAAATCGAAAAGTTAATAATTGAAAAATTGAAACATTTTAAATGAAAAAAAAAATCGGTAAACCGAAAAATTGAAAAATCTAAAAATCGAGAAATTGAACAATCTAAAAATTAAACAATTTAAAAATCGAAGAATTGGAAAACCAAAAAATCTAAACCGAGAACTTGAAAAATTGAATAATCGACAAATCAAAACATCAAGGAAAACAAGAAAATTAACGGAAAATCTAGAACTTAAAAATTGAAAAATTAAAATACCTATCGAAAAATTGAAAAACTGAGAAATCGAAACATCAAAAAATGGAAAAATTGAAGAACCGAAACATTGCAAAATCCCAGAACTGAAATACTGAAAAACTGAAAAATGGAAGGAAAATTGAAAAATCGAAAAAGTGAAAAAATTTAAAACGGAAATCTTGAAAAACTGAAAAATGGAAAGAAAATTGAAGAATCGGAAAAGTGAAAAAATCCAAAACTGAAACATTGAAAAATTCAGAAATCGAAAAATTGAAAAATAAAAAAATCAGTTAATCGAAAAATTTAGAAACGTCAAAAATTGAAAACTGAAAAATAAAAAAATTCAAAAATCGTAAAACTGAGACATCGGAAAATTGAGAAATCGAAAAATGAAGAAATTCGAGAAACCGAAAATATGAAGAATCGAGAAATCGAAGAATCGATAAATTGAAAAATCCCAATCGAAATTGAGAAATCGAAATCGAGCAAAACTGAAGTATCGTAAAGTTAATAAATTGAAAAACTGAGAATTTTTGAAAAAAAAATCGTATCAAAAACTAAAAATTCAAAAAATCGAGAAATTGAACAATAAAAAAATCAAAACATTGAAATCCCAGTAAGTTGATAAATAGGAAAATTTAAAAAACAAAAATTTTTAAAATCCAAGAATTGAACAACAAAAAAAATCCAAGCCTGAAAACTCAGAAAATCGAATGATCGAAAACTCAAAACATCAAAGAAAACAAAAAATCTAAAATTTAAAAATTCGACAAATTGAAAAATTATGGAACTGAAAAATCAAAAAATCGAGAAGTGAGAAATCTAAAAACCTAAAACTTTAAAAACTGAAAAATCAAAACACCCAAAAATCGAAACATTAAAAAATCAAAAAATTAAAATATCTGAAAATTGAAAATTCAGAAATTGAAACGTTCTCAATATTTAAATCCTGAAAAATTGAGTATTGAAAACTTGAAAAATTGAGAAATCCAAACATCAAAAAATAGTAAAATCGAAAAATGTAAAATTTAAAAAATCCAAAAATTGAGAAATAAAAGAAAAGAAAAATCTAAAATTTAAAAATTCGACAAATTGAAAAATTAAAATATCGAAAAATTGAAGAATTGGGAAATCGAAACACTAAAAAAATCGAAAAAACAAAAATCTAAAATTCAAAAATCAAAAAATTGAACACTCGAAAAGCCAAAAAGTCGAAAAATCGAAACATCGGAATGTTCAAAAACTGAAACATCGAGAAATCAAAACATCAACAGTGGAGGAGTCAAAAACACAAAAAATTAAGAAATCAAATTGGACCAAAATTGAAAAATCGAAAAGTTAATAATTGAAAAATTGAAACATTTTAAATGAAAAAAAAAAAATCGGTAAAGCGAAAAATTGAAAAATCTAAAAATCGAGAAATTGAACAATCTAAAAATTAAACAATTTAAAAATCGAAGAATTGGAAAACCAAAAAATCTAAACCGAGAGCTTGAAAAATTGAATAATCGACAAATCAAAACATCAAGGAAAACAAAAATTAACGGAAAATCTAGAACTTAAAAATTGAAAAATTAAAATACCTATCGAAAAATTGAAGAACCGAAACATTGCAAAATCCCAGAACTGAAATACTGAAAAACTGAAAAATGGAAGGAAAATTGAAAAATCGAAAAAGTGAAAAAATTCAAAACTGAAATCTTGAAAAACTGAAAAACGGAAAGAAAATTGAAGAATCGGAAATGTGAAAAAATCCAAAACTGAAACATTGAAAAATTCAGAAATCGAAAAATTGAAAAATCACAATTGAGAAAGAATTGAAAAATCGAGAAATAGAGAAATGGGAAAATAAAAAAATCACTTAATCGAAAAATTTAGAAACGTCAAAAATTGAAAACTGAAAAATAAAAAAAATCAAAAATCGTAAAACTGAAACATCGGAAAATTGAGAAATCGAAAAATGAAGAAATTCGAGAAACTGAAAATATGAAGAATCGAGAAATCGAAGAATCGATAAATTGAAAAATCCCAACAGTAATATATCGAAAAATTGAGAAATCGAAATCGAGCAAAACTGAAGTATCGTAAAGTTAATAAATTGAAAAACTGAAAATTTTTGAAAAAAAAAATCGTATCAAAACCTAAAAATTCAAAAAATCGAGAAATTGAACAATCAAAAATTTTAAAAATCCAAGAATTGAACAACAAAAAAAATCCAAGCCTGAAAACTCAGAAAATCGAATGATCGAGAACTCAAAACATCAAAGAAAACAAAAAATCTAAAATTTAAAAATTCGACAAATTGAAAAATCATGAAGCTGG